AGCATATGCCTGAGCGTGGCGTTGGTTGCTGTCTAAATGACTAGCTGATACGGCTGCTCGTCTAAGCGTTGCGCCGCCTGTTGCGCCATGAACCTCAGAAGGCGCGCGCCCGTACCCGTCAGCACGATTCAACCAGGTCACCACGGCGAAATCAAGACTCCCACTGCTGATGGAGGTACGGGTTCATCGCCTGCGTGGTTCGCATTGGGGAATGCGCATGAGAGCTCAGTAAGGCTTCAAGGCTTCAAGAAGCCGAGAGGTTGCGTGGGGTCTCGGTTCCGTCTCCGAGATGCTGGCAGGATTCATCATATTGGCCATGGCCTCTGTGTCTCTGGCAAGGTCAGGGGCAGATTCAGGGCCTTTTCCGCCTTTTCCGCCTTTTCCTGAGGATGTGGCATTGTAGTACGGGTTGCCCGGTGGATGCGCATGCGGCGGTGCCTGCCATATCGCTGGCAAGCAGGTTTTACGAGGCTTTGCGTGCAAGTGAAGAGCTCGCCTGTGGAACAGCGTGCGGATGGGGCGGTGCCTGCTTGAGCGGTGAGCGTGCGAAACCAGTACTTGCTGGCCGGTGACTGCTAACAACTGTCAGGAACAAGAAACGATCGGAAAACAGCATAAAACAGCTGAAGTCATGTCGGGTGGAGGCATGGTGCTGTAGAAGCCACCTGACAGAGCCTCTGAGCCTCTGTACTGGACAACTGGTGACTCTTGCGACTCTTCCGACTCTCCCGACTCTGCGCGCACCTGCGGCATGCCCGGGAACTGAGGCGGCGGTGGAGGCACCCGCATGCCGGGACCGAGCAAGTGGTGCGCCTGCGATCAATTTAACCAATTCTTTTACTGTTCTTCAACCGTTCAACTTGGCTTTTTTTGGGCTGAAGAATGAAGATCTTTAAGATCACCAATTGAAACGCGCACCAATTTCGGAAAGAGCGTGTCGAGAGCGCGCACTCACGGGCCTGGTGCCCTCCCAGTTGGGCCGTCAGTGGGGCAGACGGTGCAGCAGGCACCTGCCGTTGCGAGATCCAAAAGATGCTTTACAGACTCTCCACAAGTTCTCCACTCGTTCTTCCCGTCACGGTCTGAGTTCTCACTGAGTTCTCACTTCATTTTCTGCTCTTGTCATGTTTGGCTGTTAGCAAAAAGGCCTGGGCCGGGACATGCGCCTCCGCCTGGCACTTCAAGCATCGCACCAGTCGCAGTAGACGCAGGAGATCGCAGCAGTCAGAGACAGCAGAGCACTGGCAGAGCACTTGCAGAGCGCCGGCAAAGCACTGCCACTCAACATGGCCGGGACGCCGGAGGAGACTTCAGAGCCTTTGGAGCGGCTCCGATACATCTCAAATTTCAACATCCAGAAAGCCATGGGCCTCTTGGTACAGCTGGTCAAACCGCTCCGCAATGTCCTCCACCGTGAGCGGGGAGTCCTGGCAACGCCATGGCGCCCGCGATTGCAGCGACATGCGCGCGTGCTTAACTGCGCTGATGCGCCACGCGGGAGAGCGCCTTCTCCTGCTGGTGCCCCCAAGCAACGAAGATGTCGGTAACGACCTGGTCAGATCTTGGCGTGTTGGCGTCACGTCTGAAAAGACAAGAGAAATCGCACACGCTACGCCGCTATGCATCTGCTGTTCTTGCCTCTCGCTTGGTCTGCTTGTCAGTGTGCCGCTTCAGCTGCACCTTCACCTCCAGCCCAGGCTCGCTGGCGAAGCAGAATACAAAAACATCTCCCCACTCCATGCCCCAAGTAGGCTTCCCGCGTCGCCGATGTCCATTTGCACACGGCCGTTGGCATTCCGGCCAAACCTTGCCGGAAGCTGTTCAGTGCCGGCAACAGCTTGGGCCTAAATATGGACAATCCCCGTGTCGGCATTTGATGGAGGCCTCTGCTCAGCGAAGTTCATGATGGCCTGCTCAGAGGAGCTGCTTGCGGCGAGTCGGCAATTTCGCTTCCAGCCGTGACTTGTGGTGCCGCCTCCCTCATGGCCGCCGATTGCATCGACACCACAGCACAGCCCATGCTGCTGTGCTTGTGCACCTCCGACTCCCGCAACAACAAACACCTGTATGGTGCCGTCTCAGCTTCCTTATGCTTCCTTGAACTTCCGTGTTGGTGGCCTGGCAGATCTCGCCCTTTGTTTCGATGGGCTGCCTCCCACCAGCGTCGGCACTGCGCTTCACGCGCTCGACCTTGCCCTTGCCGCCCTGGCCAAAAAGTCGGCGCGATTGGCTTGTGACTGTGGACTTGAGATGCGAGGAATGCCCGCGACGTCCCGTGACCCCCGCCTTGGCCATCTCGGCCTCCACCTCCGCGACGGTCTTCGGGCTCGCCTCGTGCCTGGTCTCGCCGGCTGCCTGGGATGCTCGCACGGCTCGCGGGCTCTCAGTGCACCTACACAGTTTTTTACCGGCCTTCGGTCATGCCTTCGATCCTGAACAAGCCGGGCGCCACGCACCTTTGCTTTCGCCCCCTTTGGCGAAGCCTGTGCAAGAGAGTGAAGGCAAGGATCGGGGCCTTTTGCTTGTGCCCGCACCTTTGCCTCCCTTCTTGCCCTTCTCCTGAGAAGCTTAAAACAGGCCGCGCATGCCCGCAAGGCCGAAGGGCTGGAAGGCTGGAAGCTGCAACAAAGTGGGTTGCCGCCCAGCCGTCCTCGGACTTGCCTTTGCCCTTGCCCTTGCCCTTCTCTTCACCTGGGCCAAGAATCGGCCTTCCCGCTCTCTACGGCCAGCCGAAATCTAGTTGCACGAGGCCCCAGCCATCGTCCTTGTCTTTGAAGTCGCCTTTGCCCTGCAGAGTCTTCAAAGCTTCAAGTTTGCTCGTTGGAAGCAGTCACAGCACCAGCCATGCACAGCCACGTGCGGGCCATGCACGGCCACGCACGGCCACGCGCGCGGCCGCGCGGGCCTTCTTTGCGGAGTCCTTGGACTTGCCCTTGTCCTTTGCGTGGCTGCATGCCCCCGCGCGGATGGTGCGGCATGTGCCCAGGCCTTTCCCTTGGACTCCTTTGTCTCTCCTTGACCCTGGGAGTCGAGACACACACACACACAGACAGAGGCACAGAGAGGCACAGAGAGGCACAGTGAGGCACAGAGACACGCAGGCACACAGACACAAACGACTTGAGCCCCAAGTCCAAGCATTTCCAAGCCTTGCTGGGCTTCGTCTCCCAGCCCTCAGTCCACGCGACTGTCCAACACTCACACGCCAGCGCTCGAAGGCAGGGATCGCACCCAGTCGTTCCAGCTCCACCAGTCGGAGTCTGAGCGAGCGCAGGCGCAGTCAGAGGATTTCACAAGCAAGCTGTCAGGTGAGTGCCGGCGAGCCCTCACGGCTGAGGCGGCTGCAGCTGTCGGCTGTCCACGTCCAGCCTCAGAGAAGGCATGGCTCATGGCTCCGCAAGGCAGGCAGGGTCTTGAAGCTTTACAGGCGTCTGCTCACCACCTCAAGCCTGAGGCCTCCACTCCAGTCCTCCTCTTCGGCTCTTGCTGCCTTGCCTGCGCGGAGGATGCAATTTCGGTGAGCCTCGGGCTGGAGAGGCCCAACCCTCCCTCAGGCCCCCAGGACAACCACTGGCACCTCCCTTCCGCTTGCCCTCGCCCTTCCGGTCGCCCTTTCCCTGCCAGAAGAGGGGTCGTTGGGGCGGGGGGGGGGGGGGGCGCAACGCGCGCTGAACCACGAATGCCACGCGCGACGCAGCACCACCACGCGATATGCAGCGAGCCTTGGGCTCCTCCTCCGCCTTCTTGGCCATCCACTTTGTGGCTGCAGCTGGCAGGGCGAGCAGGAACGCTAAAGCTCAAGAAGCAGAATCCGATCAAAAGTCTGTGCATACCTTCCCCCGGCCTCCCTTCGCTCCGCCATCTTTTCCCTCCTTCCCCTCCTTTCTTTCCTTTTTCTCCTTGCCCTGGCAGCTCTCTCTGCGTGAGCTCCGCAGTTCTCGAAGCTGATGTGTTGAGGCGTCGGCTTTGACGGGCTCGTCTTCTTCTTCGGTCTTCTTGGCCACCCACTTCATAGCTGCCACGGGTGATCAGGGATGTATACAATATCAATCAAAATCGTGGATGCAGGTGCAGCAATATTCAAATCCGTTCGTGTCGTATGAAGACAGCAGTCATATCCCAGCGTACTGATATTCGCTTCATTTCACGCGGGATAGTACACTACTTTGCTGCCTTAATTTGAATAGCCGGGCCCCTTCACTTCTTCTGGTTGAAGATGAAAGGAACAAAATGTCGCATTTTGACGTGTTCTTGGCCGGAAAAAGACCCCGTGCAATATAGTACTTTTATGGGGGTCTTTTTGTCCTTGCCATTTGTTATCAAAAGGTAGGAAATGCTTTCACTACGTTCATTTGCTAATCTGTCCCCCAGAACAACTGTCCTAAACCCTAAACCCTAAACATCCCTAGACCCTAGACCCTACCAGTTGCAGTTCCCTTGCCAAGTCTTCTTGGAGCAGCATAAGAGATGGCAAGTCCCACCTGGAGCCGGCATGGTCGCACCTCGTAGCGCGAGAAGCCACTGCACTGCAGCCCTTGTCCGAACATGCTTTATATTGTTGTATTACATGCTATGTACATACGTATATACACTCTCAAACCGCAACAATCATGCCGGCCTCCGGCTGAAGTGAAGCTTCCACAAGCGAATTGGGACTCGAGCAGCCCGACACGTGCTTGCTGCCGTGCTGTATCGTTGATTGACATTGTGCCTTCAAAGCCTCTGGAGGCGGATGAGGTCATCGCATGTGCATCCAACTGGGGTCTCTTGGTTGTATCGATGCTGGTACGCGGGTGCCAGTGCTGAATTGGTCCATATGAGAACCCTCTTCCTCTGCTTGAGCCAGGGCAGTTCAAAAGCTGGTGAGACGCATGTACACGCTGTGAGCCCTTCGTTTGTAGCGCCGCATGATGAAGGATACGACATGGGGCACGGCACTGCACCCAACTGGCGCTTACAACTGGTGCCTTGAAGGAGCAGAAGTCTTTGCTCAGGCCTGAACTGCTCCGTGTTTGCGACAGCTACAGTGCGCTCACAAGCGCATGCGCGCCCAAAGTGTGTACTCCATTGCAGCCCCATAAGCCTTCGCAGAAAGCTTCTACTACAGCGGCATACATCAACTTCTTCACGGATTCCTACACACCAGCTCACCGAGGCATCCGGCAAGCCCAGATGGTTTCATCCTTGGAGCGTGGGCTTCGGCTTTCATTACATCCTCAACCCAACCGAGGCGCCGGCATTGTGCATTGCTGCAAGCTTCGGAGCTCTTCCACGGCTATGGCAAATCCATCGAGAGCTTCTTCAACCTTCTTTGAACCGCAGCGCGGCTTAGCAGCTTCGGTGAGGAGTTGTCCTTGCTTGGATAAGCGGTCAAGCCCTTTTTGCCTGTCTAATGGTGCAAGCTTGCGTCTGCGCCATCTGACTGTCACGTGCGTTTTGCAGTTTTGCATTTGGCAAAGATGCAGAAACACACCAAACTTTGGTCACCCAACAAGAACCAGGGGTCTCGTGCATGGTTGATCATGTTTACATTGAAAGCTTTGCCTGTCCATCCTCTCAATAAGCTTAGCAGCGACGCAGTTGATCGCATGAACGGAGCAAGCACAATTGACAATGGCATAATGAGCACACAGCACAAGCCGAAAGCATGTGCAAGCACTCCGTTTCTGGTGCTCTTTTTTGGTCTATGGTGGAAAACTAGAAACGATATCACGCTCTGGCACAGCCAGTTAGAGTTTCCGAGGCGCGATGGTTACAGTTACAACAGGCCGCACCTTTCATGCGGACTCGCCGCAAAGTTGCAGAGACTGCAAGGGCAAGCTGCCTTCACCGCAGCACCGCGGCAAATCACTGCCCAGGTGGTAGTTGCAGAGTGCAACTTGTGACAGCCGTAGAGTACTGCCAAAGGACGCAGTGCCGCTAGAGCCGAGAAGCCTTCCTACACGTTCTAGCCTAGAGGGCCTAGAGGGCCTAGGGCACTGCATTGTGAGGTCTTGTACCTCTCCAAAGCAAAGAGCAGAACGATTGCAAAAAGAAATCTTGCAACAAAGCATGCGTCGCTGTCAGGACCCAATTCCAGCAATTGAAATCAGCTGGCCTCAATCGCAACAGCCTGTCGACGACAGGAGCCGGCACGTCAAGCGCTGAGACTTGTCCTTGGTTAAGCTCGTGCCTCCCCCGTGCTGGGATTGGTAATCTGCAGCGGTGTTGACGGCTTTCGCCTTGGATGGCACGATATGCCACGCCGATATAACAATCCTCAAGCCGAGACCCAAAAAAAGACTCGGTGATGGGGTCCCGGCGGGGCGAAATTCATGCCCATTGTGTCGATCGGTTTTCCACCTGAAGGTTTTCAGGCGTCAAGATGTTGCAAGGGGAAGCAGTCCTGGAAGGTTCGTGGACGGTCCTTGAATTGCTAAACACTGTCAAATGTAAACAATGTAAATCCTACAAACACTCGTCAACCCTCCTTTCGGAAGAACCAGTGATGCCGGGCTGCTGTTGGGGTCCACTATCTGCAAGAGCCGCGGCTTCGCGGGCGTGAAATCTGCCCTTGGCCAGGTCATACTGAGTCATACTGAGTGGTGGTAAATCAGGACCAAGGGCACCCGTTTTGGGGGCTAGGCGGTTCTGAGTCTCATAAGAAGTTAGAGCCAGAGCATGTTGCTGGTGCATCACAGGGGTACCCCTACTTTGACAAAGTCCCACTGGATAAAGGCATGTGCACGCTTACTTGCACACGCCTCGCTCCACGACAATTTCAAATTTAGCGGGCAGCAACACTTGACTGCTTTCATTATCACGTTGGCGGATTGGAGACCGCCTGCCACATGCAGTTGGGAATTCACAAACAACCCGCCCAAACCAACTTGGCAGACGAACTTAGAGAAACCAATGCCAAATAAAACTGAAAGTCCGAAGCATCTGGGGCCATGTAGTGGAGATAGCGCTCAAATTGTTTGCATGAAATCTAGGGTTTGGGGTTTGGGGTTCTGAACGTTACGGCGCAAGAGCGGGCATACGCGAACCGAGCCGAACCGGACTTTGCTAAACGTGGGCAACGGACGTCACCGGCGCCCGACTGGAGGCTCGGGAAACTTCCGCTTCTCAAACAGATCCGCATGGTAGCATTGTCACCACTGTCTCTGAAGGAAACTGAGATCCAGAAGAGAAGAACATTTCAACGGATCCGAGGCCAGATCAGGTTGACTTGCGGCGTGGTGCCCTTAGCTCCGTATTGGTGTAATGTGCCAGAAGATCTCTGCAGACTCTCTGTGCAGTTGGGTTCCGACTCTAGCAGACTCTAGCATGTGGGATGTCTTTGGCGTGGTATGGCTTGGTGCAACACCTCCTGGCTGCCCTCGGCCTGCGCCACGCGATCACGCGATGAGCACATCTCCGAAGCAAAAGGGTCTCCAGGGGTCTCCACTGAGTGCTCCACAGCAGGTGCAGGTGCAGGCGAGAACGCCGCCGATCCTGAACCCGGAAGCCCTCATTAGACGCTGAAAAGGTGGCTCTGAAAGCTAAGGGATGTGCCAAGGCTGCCAAGAGAGGCATCCTTTCCTTTACCCTCCTTGCCTTTTCCTTGGCAGGCGGCCCGCGACAAGCTGCTACTGAGTAGCCGAGTCCAGGGCAATGGCCTGGATATCCTTTGCCCTTAGCACGCCCCACGTGTACGAGTTGCAGGTTTGAGCGGAGGCTGGGGATGTCTGTGCAGCTCACAGCTTTGCATCTCAAGGCAGCAACTTTGCCGGCTTTGCCCCATGCAGCTCCTTGGTCACCGTACCTCCAATGATCTCCAACCCACAGTATGCTATCCACAGAACTCTTAAATGGGACAAGTGGGACCCATGAACCAACATGGATGTATCTGTATGCTGCAGAATGTTGCAAAGGATGCTGAAGGCATGTGAAGGCACATCTGTGCCATCAGCTGCTGGGCAAACTGCTGCTGGTACACCATTGCAGCCTCAGAGGTGCCCGATCTCAAGACTTTACGGCAGGACTCTGCGCCTGACCGTTCCTGCAGCCAAGCAACTGTCTGCTGTGCGATGAACCTCAGCCCAACAAGTCGCTGAGCGCCGAAAAGCACCGGGGGAGCAAAGCCGCCGGCTGCTGCTGAAGGTACTGGTTCATGGCCTCATTCAGCGCGCCCCATGCTCAGTCCCATGCTCGGTCGCATCCCAGCATCGCAACGTGTCATCAAACATGTCCCAACATCACGTTCACAAAGCGCTCGATGCAGCTCGGAGCGGGGCTGCACTGCTCGCCTTACTTTGACGGGGCGGGGGGGGGGGGGGGGGGGGGGGGGGGGGGGGGGGCGGGACCTTCAACTGGCGTTGCGTCTCTTAGCATCTCTTCTCCATTCGACATTCTCGTGCTCTCCATTCAATAGCTTGGGCTCCAGGCGCCGAGGTAGTTTGCACTACCCGCCTCAAGCGGAGAGCTGCTTCGAGGAGAGTTGCTTTGAGCTTGTGAGCATCTTGCGAGCTGTAGTTTCTGAGGGCTTTCAGAATGCGCTTCGTTCTTTGTGTCTTGTCCGAGCCCTCCAATGGTTGCACAACGTTGCACCACTCTCGTAAATCTCTGCTGAATCCTGCTGCGTAACCGGAGTTCAGTCAAAGCAGCAGAATAGTAGTCTCTCTGTGCCCTTTTTGTGCTTACAGCGAAGCCAATCCTACGCGGTCAAAAGACTCGCCGTAAGCTTGGCGCTGCAGCCGGCTGTGCAGGCGGGGGTGCATCTGGCGATGCCTTGCCTGTGCACATCAAGGGCTGATGGAGCTTGGCAACCTTGTCTCAGAAAACTGGACGCCGGTGTATTGGTGATTCTTAGTGCTGTACCGAACACAAGGTCGTAGGGCTTGGAAACAACGACTCAGAAAGTTTGTGAGATGATCACCGGCGCCATGGTTTACCGTCTTCCCGTGAAACCTCCCAAGCCCCGCCTGGCGTCGGCGCCTCAGCTCAGCTGGGAACTTGGGGGGGAGAAGGGGGGAAGGGGCCGGGGGGGGGGGGGGCGGGGGAGGGGGGAGGGGGGAGGGGGGAGGGGGGAGGGGGGAAGGGGGGGGGCAACCCTGGGCAACCTAAGCCGCACTTGAATTCTAGATTCTAGAGGCCCCTTAAGAAGAAAAAAACGTCGTCCCTGCACACGGCACGCAGACAGTCGGTCGGTTATAGACAATATCACGCGATTGGTTGCCTCCCAGGTCCACAAACCAGAACCGCCCCAAAAAAGACACAAGGGATCCAATAAAAGATCCGGAACCCGTCAAGCTTGGCCAGGATCTTCGCCGAGGCACAGGTGGCGCTGGCGAAGCCAAAGCCTCCCAAAGTGTCAGAGCGGGGGCCCTTTCCCGCTCTCTTGGACTCTCCCCCCGTTATCATTAATAGGCGCGCTGTACCGAGTCCGTTGGTTAGATGTTGGTTAGACTCTGAGGGTCCCCCAGAGCGCCGCTCTATAACCACCCGCTGCCAACAACTCAACCTCTCTCGCTGCTCTCGTTGTCGCAGTCTCGCCCTCGCGCCTCTCTCTGCGACCTGCCTTCCAGCGAACTTAGCGCCAAGAGGGCCGCTCCAAGGCGCGCTCGATCCGAAACTCTCTTTTCTTTCTGGCTTGCTTTCTATCTTTCTACCCGTATCTGTTCTTTGTCGCTTTACTTTGTCTTTCGTTCTTTCTGTCCTTTGTTGCTTTCCTTCCTTCTGTCTTCATATACTTTTTCTCTTCTTCCTTCTTTCTTCCTCCTGCACTCTTCCCCGGGTTGGCACGTAGTAGACGTCGAGGTGGAGCTGGAGTTTGTGGAGTGAGTTTTCTTCTCTGACCCCTGTTTCCGGGCCTGTTCTGGTAGTAGATGGCTTTGACCCCTTCCCTCGGGCTGCTCCGGCAATAGACGCCGAGGTGATTGCGGTGTTGTGGGCTTGTTTTCGGTCGCTTTCCCCGGACTGTTCTGCAGCACACGGCGAGGATATGGTTGTGGGATGACTTTACTGATATCTGGTCCTCGACCGTGCCACTGGCCTTCTCACCTGCTGTGCTCGGCTGACTGGAGCTGGTGGTGTTGTGGCAGACACGGCTTGTCCATGAACATTCTGCGGCCAGGCCAGGCGTGCCGTTGCTTTCTGGTGTGCCCGTCCATTAGGCAGGTGATGGCACACTCTCCTGGTCAGTGGCAAACAGATCCAATCCCTCCACGAAGCCACAATCAGGGTGCGTAAGGAGGCGAGCTGCTCCGAAGCTCAAGCACAGGCTTTGGGGGTGGGCTCCTCCTGCCAGACTTGACCTCTTATGACCCCCCCCCTAAGGAAGGGAGCCGCTCCAAGGGGCACGCACGACAGAGTCAGTCTTCGGTGTGAACCCCCCCGTACTCGTTGCGGGGTTCTGAAAATGGCCGCTTTGCGCTACGGGTGGGGCAAAAACGTGCATGGTGAGGACTTACGTGGTCTGAAGTTTCCGCCCTGAATCCGCCGAGGCCTCGGGCCGAAGGTGCACAGGTTCCCCCTAACCCCCCCCCCTACCCCCGCCCCGCCCCTACCCCCCCCCCGCCCCTACCCCCCCGGGTCTAAAATAAAGGCTCCCCCCCACTGCGGATTTGGCAACAGTTAGGGGCAGGTGAGAATGCCCATTTTTGGTGCCCCTCCCTCCAACAATCGAACATCCCCCAAGTCAACGAACAACACCCGGGACCCACGAGGAGAGAGGGGAAAAAGGATTTCCATTTACTGAGTCTGCCTAAGTCAAAGTTCTCCCCCTACAGAATTGGCAATGGAATACGATGGATATTTTACACTGTTCCCCCTCTCTCTTTTTTAATTCCTGTATTTCTTTCTTTCCTTCCTTCCTTCCTTCTTTCATTGTTGTTTTTTTCTTTCCTTCCGTCTTTCATTATGTCTTTTCTTTCCTGCTTTCCTTCTTTCTTACTTTCTTTCCTTCCTTCCTTCCCTTTCTGTCTTTCTTTCCTTCTTTCTTTCCTCTCTTCCTTCCTTCCTTCCTTCAGCACCTTTTGCCCCCAGGTGAGGGGCCCCTCTCTCTCTCATCATATACCATTGAAAGGCCTCCCTGCGAGCAAACTGCTCAAGCCTCTTGGTACAGCTGGTCAAACCGCTCCGCAATGTCCTCCACCGTGAGCGGGGAGTCCTGGCAGCGCCAAGGGGCCCGCGATTGAAGCGACATCCGTGCGTGCTTAACTTCGCAACTGCGCCACGCGGGAGAGCGCCTTCTCCTGCTGGTGCCCCCAAGCAACGAAGATGTCGGTAACGACCTGGTCATATCTTGGCGTGTTGGCGTCACGTCTGATCAGACAAGACAAGAGAAATCGCACCCGCTACGCCGCGATGCATCTGCTGTTCTTGCCTCTCGCTTGGTCTGCTTGTCAGTGTGCCGCTTCAGCTGCACCTTCACCTCCAGCCCAGGCTCGCTGGCGAAGCAGAATACAAAAACATCTCCCCACTCCATGCCCCAAGTAGGCTTCCCACGTCACCGATGTCCATTTGCACGCGGCCGTTGGCATTCCGGCCAAACCTTGCCGGAAGCTGTTCAGTGCCGGCAACAGCTTGGGCCTAAATATGGACAATCCCCGTGTCGGCATTTGATGGAGGCCTCTGCTCAGCGAAGTTCATGATGGCCTGCTCAGAGGAGCTGCTTGCGGCGAGTCGGCAATTTCGCTTCCAGCCGTGACTTGTGGTGCCGCCTCCCTCATGGCCGCCGATTGCATCGACACCACAGCACAGCCCATGCTGCTGTGCTTGTGCACCTCCGACTCCCGCAACAACAAACACCTGTATGGTGCCGTCTCAGCTTCCTTATGCTTCCTTGAACTTCCGTGTTGGTGGCCTGGCAGATCTCGCCCTTTGTTTCGATGGGCTGCCTCCCACCAGCGTCGGCACTGCGCTTCACGCGCTCGACCTTGCCCTTGCCGCCCTGGCCAAAAAGTCGGCGCGATTGGCTTGTGACTGTGGACTTGAGATGCGAGGAATGCCCGCGACGTCCCGTGACCCCCGCCTTGGCCATCTCGGCCTCCACCTCCGCGACGGTCTTCGGGCTCGCCTCGTGCCTGGTCTCGCCGGCTGCCTGGGATGCTCGCACGGCTCGCGGGCTCTCAGTGCACCTACACAGTTTTTTACCGGCCTTCGGTCATGCCTTCGATCCTGAACAAGCCGGGCGCCACGCACCTTTGCTTTCGCCCCCTTTGGCGAAGCCTGTGCAAGAGAGTGAAGGCAAGGATCGGGGCCTTTTGCTTGTGCCCGCACCTTTGCCTCCCTTCTTGCCCTTCTCCTGAGAAGCTTAAAACAGGCCGCGCATGCCCGCAAGGCCGAAGGGCTGGAAGGCTGGAAGCTGCAACAAAGTGGGTTGCCGCCCAGCCGTCCTCGGACTTGCCTTTGCCCTTGCCCTTGCCCTTCTCTTCACCTGGGCCAAGAATCGGCCTTCCCGCTCTCTACGGCCAGCCGAAATCTAGTTGCACGAGGCCCCAGCCATCGTCCTTGTCTTTGAAGTCGCCTTTGCCCTGCAGAGTCTTCAAAGCTTCAAGTTTGCTCGTTGGAAGCAGTCACAGCACCAGCCATGCACAGCCACGTGCGGGCCATGCACGGCCACGCACGGCCACGCGCGCGGCCGCGCGGGCCTTCTTTGCGGAGTCCTTGGACTTGCCCTTGTCCTTTGCGTGGCTGCATGCCCCCGGCGCGGATGGTGCGGCATGTGCCCAGGCCTTTCCCTTGGACTCCTTTGTCTCTCCTTGACCCTGGGAGTCGAGCGAGACACACACACACACACATGGGAACACCAAGACACACACACACACACTGGGAGTCGAGACACACACACACACACATGGGAACACCAAGAGACACACACACGCACACACAGAGACAGAGGCACAGAGAGGCACAGTGAGGCACAGAGACACGCAGGCACACAAACACAAACGACTTGAGCCCCAAGCCTTGCTGGGCTTCGTCTCCCAGCCCTCAGTCCACGCGACTGTCCAACTCTCACACGCCAGCGCTCGAAGGCGGGGATCGCACCCAGTCGTTCCAGCTCCACCAGTCGGAGTCTGAGCGAGCGCAGGGGCAGTCAGAGGATTTCACAAGCAAGCTAGGTGAGTGCCGGCGAGCCCTCACGGCTGAGGCGGCTGCAGCTGTCGGCTGTCCACGTCCAGCCTCAGAGAAGGCATGGCTCGTGGCTCTGCAAGGCAGGCAGGGTCTTGAAGCGTTACAGGCGTCTGCTCACCACCTCAAGCCTGAGGCCTCCGCTCCAGTCCTCCTCTTCGGCTCTTGCTGCCTTGCCTGCGCGGAGGATGCAATTTCGGTGAGCCTTGGGCTGGAGAGGCCCAACCCTCCCTCAGGCCCCCAGTAAAACCACTGGCACCTCCCTTCCGCTTGCCCTCGCCCTTCCGGTCGCCCTTTCCCTGCCAGAAGAGGGGTCGCGGGGGGGGCGGGGGGGGGGCGGCGCAACGCGCGGAGGCGCGCTGAACCACGAATGCCACGCGCGACGCAGCACCACGCGATATGCAGCGAGCCTTGGGCTCCTCCTCCGCCTTCTTGGCCATCCACTTCATCCCTTGACAATCCCACAGAACCACACTGAAAACCGCTGGGAACTGCATGGAAACGCTCAAACCGTCGGCCTAACAGGATCAGAAAAAGGAGGCTGCTATCTGTCTGCACACAGTGTAGCACTGCAGATGATTCTGAAGTTGCGGGACTAGTCTCGGCTAGACTTGAAGACTTGAAGAACCTGCACAATGCTGTAGATCTAGACGTTTGAGACTTTATTCGAAGCCGCTTTGACATCTCATGGCTCATTTCGCAACGAATGTCTTTGCTGGACTGAATCTTCAAATGCTTGGCAGCTGAACGCCGCAAACAAGGGAGATTCAAGTTATCCTCGCCTCTGGCCACAACAACAGCGAACACGGACGCGAATCTGCCCTAAAGCCCACACTTTTCCCCGCCAAAGCGCAGCAGCTGCATGAAGCCGGCAATGCTCGGACCCCATTGCAGCTACAAGTACATGAGACGGGTTCCGCTCAGATCCTCTCAGTAGTCAATTACTCAATGAGGGTTTACCATGAGTAGCCCGCAACCACAACTCAAACCCGACATTGCAATCACCTCTCAAAGCATGCAGAGCTAGGAGGGGTGAGGGCAATTGCTCTGCCTTTATTCTGAGAATCTTCGCTGCAGAGCCTTCCCAACATCGCATGATGCCCTCTGATGCCCTCTCATGCCCTCTGAAGGTAAAAGTAGCATCCTGTGGAAGATGGAGACTCGGCGACACTCAGCTACCGAGCTTCAGGAGCTTTTCGAAGTCTGCCAGGACCTGCAAACAAAAACGATTCGATTGCCGATTCGGACACTTGCACCTCCCCAAGCCACACGAGAGGCACCTTGTTGCTCTTGAGCGTTTTTGAAAGCCTCAGAGCACACCATGGTCCCAGACAGGATCCCAGGAAAAAGTGGGGGGGGGGGGAGAGGGGAGGGGGGTGTTTCCGGGGGTTTCCTTCTGCGGGTTTCCACCTTTCCACCTTGGAGCCCCGCTCTGAGGCTGAACGCAGCGCCTCCGGAAGCAGCTCCTTGAGCTCCTCTTGCTCCTCTTGTCGAGCAATGTATGACTAATGTATAGCGACGTTCTAGGCTGTTCTTTCGTGCTCGCCGGCACCCCTTTTTGGCACTGCTCTCTCCTTTCCGGGAGGCATCTCCTTGATGGCCTTGGGCCATGCCTGCCGTGCACTTGGCCCTCCAACTCACATCTCTTGGCAAAACCTCACAAGACCTCACAAGAGCATCTGTCAAAACTTGCTTTGCCTCTCCGGCTGCCAACAGGCAGGCGGCCAGCTTGGCCGCTGTGACAGGGTCTCGGCTGGCCTGGCGATGAGGGGGAAGCGGGGGAAAGGGGGGGGGGGGGAGGCCGTTGTGGGACGTGTAGATCCTTGGCAGCCGATGTAAGACCGCAAGGCGGCACCTCGACCCTGGCCCCGGCGTCCTGGACATGATCTCAACAAGTTAAAAGGTTTGGGCTGCGGCATCCACTTGGCGACTTCGGTATGAAAAATTATGACCCGAGGCAGCACGCATACTGCTCGTACTTTCCTTATTTCCTGTACACGTACAACTTCAACCACACCAGCTGCCTCTCTGGGGCGTAGCTTTCCGCCAGCTTGGAACACAAAGGCATCTAGGGCAAGGCGCACGAAGGTGCCCCTGAGCCAGAGAGCAGGAGTGTTGGAGCGGGCTGTGGCTGTGGCTGTGTACATCTGTGCACTCTGAGGACCAAACTTGCCGTCACCGTGCTCCGGCGGCAAAGGGATTTGAAGATCCAGCAAGGTGTTCCGATTCTGCTCCTTGGATCACTGAAGGGCCTTGTCTCCGAAGACTCCGAAGGCCAAAGCAACACACGGCAAGGTGAGAAGGTGAGGAAAGGTTGGGAACGGTGATCATGATGAGAGGCATTTTCGGTGATGGCCCACCGCAGACAATCAGCACAAAGGCCTGCAACCTCCAGCGCGGGAGAAGCTCCGAAAGGCGGTCGACGTGAAACTGCCAGAGCCTCCGCATCTGTGGCAAAGTGCCACAGCACGGCCGCCTCAGACATGCCAATCTCGTGTGACGACAGGTGAGAATGGTGAGACTGTCATAGAATCATAGAACTATAGAGCATTTATCAGACTTCCTCTTTGAGCCACGCACCGTGGCCCTGAGGCCGCCCTGTCCGAGCCCTGCAGAGGGGAAAATGCATGGGAGAGCGAGTTGCAGAGCGAGACAGTGTAATCCAAGGCAGAAAGAGCATGACACGTGAGGGGAGCCGGGGGCGTGGGGTAGCGCACCGCATCGGGCGTAGTGGGAGATGGAGACCTGTCCAAACGAGGCTCTCAGAACATGCAGATGCCAAGAGAAAGCGCCGAAAAGCTCAGACCTTGGGAGACAGCGACTCCATCAGCTCCAACACCTTCATGCGCAGGACAAAAAGCGACAGAGCGTGCCTTCTTTTTTGAGGGTCACCGAGTGTTGCTGAGTGATCCGCCACGTCGCGCGCCGCCTCACATCTCGCGTTGCACCAGTATGTGTGTATAAATATATATATATATATATATATCTATATCTATATACAGCCATGAAAGGTATAAATCTACATGGACATATACACAAACATATACATATACGTATACATATACATATACATAATGCACATGTACATGTACATGTACATGTACATATCCGCCGACCCCAGCGGTAGCAGGGCGGTGTCAGTGAAGACCCCCCACCGCCCTCACCGCCCTCACCCGCTCTCACAGCATGCTGCTCATGACACCTTGAATTGGAGTGTTTTTGCATTGTTTGGCTTCAGTGCATGCCCAAACCCCGCCACCCATCGCCCTCAGCCCGACCCCCCACACCCCACCCCCCACACCCCACCCCCCACACCCCACCCCCCCCACCCCCCCCCACCCCCCCCACCCCGCCCACCCCCCCCCCCCACCCCCCCCCCACCCACCCCACCCCCCCACCCCACCCCCCACACCCCCCCCCCCCAACCCCCCCCCCCCCCCCCACCCCCCCCACCCCCCCCACCCCCCCACCCCCCCACCACCCCCCCCCCCCACCCCCCCCACCCCACCCCCACCCCACCCTCATCACTCCCCCCATCCACCCCTGCCTGACACCAACCCTCTACCCTCCCCCCCACCCCCACCCCCCCCCCCCCCACCCCCCACCCCCCCACCCCCCACCCCCCACCCCCCCCCCCCCCCCCCCCCCCCCCACCCCACTCCTATAGGCCTCGCCCCTACCCCCTATCTCCAGTGTTTTAAGGATTCCAGTCCGTGCCCGCCCTGACCGCCCTCACCGCTCTCACCGCTCTCATCACTCCCCCTGCCCCTCACCCCCCCGACTCTGAAACCCCACCCCCACCCCCCTCCCCCCCCTCCCCCCTCCGCCCCCTCCCCCACCCCCCCACCCCCCCCATCCCTTCCCTCGCCCCTGACAAATCCCCCCCCCCCACTTTACAACCAGAATCCCTACTTTTACAACCCAGAAGCCTTTCCAGAATCCCTACTTTGCAACCGGTTGCGAAAGCTTCTTAACAACCCAATTAACTGATAACGTCAACGCTTAGAATCTCCAGCATCATCCCTTACGGCAGCCATGCAGGTTGGAAAGTGATGCCCGTTGCAATGTGGGCGTTCTTAACCCGAGTCCACGACAGATATGTGTGTATATACACATGAAAGCCAATACATGAACCCCAAATTTTATTACATTTGACGTTGTATTTATGGTTTTAGGCCATACAAGTACTTTCAAAAAATGACTTTCCGTTCTTGTGTTTGTTTTTAGGGAAAGCATACAAAAAATGCTTTTTAGAAACCCAAACCACCAACCCACCACAGGCAAATCTGGGAGTGCAAAACACATTAAAATGCAACCAAATTCCTACCCTCGCACTCCACAGCACCTCGCTTGGCGGACGGACGCTTTTTTCTCACCAGCGTGGACGTTGTTTGAGTCATTTTAATTTGATGTTGTACTTATGGTTTTGAGCCATACAAGTACTTTCAAATAATGACTTTCGGTTCTTGTGTGTTTGTATCGGGGAAAGCATACAGAAAAAATGATTTTTAGAACCCCAACCCACCAACCCACCACAGGCAAGGCTAGGAGTGCGAAGCGCATTAAAACATAACCAATTCCTAAATCAGCCCCAAAAACAAAATTGTGAAAAAGAAACGCTTTTTAACATTCGGGGAAAGACGAGACACAAAGATAACAATAAACATAATGGGGTGTGTTCCTTTTTAAACACAGACCTACCCAAACCAAGCCACGACAACCTGCGTCGGGTGAAGGCCCCATAAGTTAGACACTTGAGGGAGTCTCGAGGAACCAAACGGAATCTAGGTAGGTTTGTTGTAAAAACTCATGAAATCCCAATAGGTCTTAATCATAGGTAGACGGGTTGCAAAGTGGGCGTTCTCCGGATCGGCAGTTGTAAAGTGGGGATTCTCACACCGGAAACAGTGCCTGTGGTTGTAAAGTGGGGATTCTGGTTGTAAAGCGGGGATTCTGGTTGTAAAGCGGGTTAATCTCCCCCCACCCCCCACCCCCCCGCCCCGCCCCACCCCCCCCCACCCCCCACCCTGTAGGCTTGCCCCCCCTGCTCCACCCCCCCTCCCCCCCCTCCCCCCCCACCCCCCCACCCCCCCCATCCCTTCCCTCCTAGGCCCCTACCCACTACTCCGCCCCTGACAAATCTTTAGTTTGAGGGATTCCAATCCACGCCCGCCCTAACCGCCTCCCCACTCTCATCACTCCCCTGCCTTCCGCCCCCAACTCCACCAACCCTCGACCGTCACCTCCCCTGTCCACCCGCCGCGCTCCACCCTGCCTTCCGCCCCAACCCTCTCACCAGAGCTGGTCAAATGAGTCAGGCCCCTCTTTCCGCCGCCCCCACCCTCTCCCACTCCCACTCCCTAACCCTCCCACCAACCCTCCCCAGCCCTCATCATTACCCCCTCCCACCATCGTGCACCATCCGACCGCCCCCCCGCTCTCACCGCTCTCATCGCTTCTTCATCTCTATGCCCCCCAGTCCACCCCTGCCTTCCGCCCCCAACTCCCTAATCCGACACCAACCCTCTACCGTCACCCCCCACACCCCCCACCCCTTTCCACCCCCACCCACCCCCACCCCCCCCGCCCCCGCCCCCCCCGCCTGCCCGCGCTCCACCCTGCCTTCCGCCCCAATGCGACTGTCTTGGGTCTGGGGTCGGCGGCACTGGCGGTAGCCATTAAATCGGGCAGCGCGAGGTCCCCAAAGGACCGAGCAAATGCGGACCTTTTAGCCCGGGTCGTCCCGGGAATAGCCTTGCTGGCCTCTGGCCTTCTGCGAAGCAGAATTAGGCCGGACGCCAGTGCCGCCGACCCCCGCGTGCCGCCGGTGAACGGTTTTTTTTTCGTGGTTTTTTGCGTCGCCACGGAGGCCCCCAGAGGGCGCGCATCATGAGCATCAGCGGGTCCAGCCCGGGACCCCCAGGCGCGCATCAGGAGCATCAGCGGCTCCCGGGGCGGGACCCCGGGGGCACATCAGGAGCATGATGCCCCCCAAAGGGCGGGCATAAGCGACGTGTCTAAGCCCGGGGCTAGGAAAAAGGGAGTTTAGGGGCCTTATAAAGTGCTTAGAAACGTTAAGGGAGTCCAGGAGCCTCAAACGCTTAGAGATTTGAAGGGAGTTTAGGGGCCTGAAAATGCTTAGAAACTTAACGCTTAGAGATTTTAAGGGAGTTTAGGGGCCTCAACATGCTTAGAAACTGCTCGCCCCGGGCTTCTGCGTGCGCTGCCCGCCCATGGGCGCAGCCCCTTAAAATACATATACATATACCTGTACATATACATATACATATACATATACATATACATATACATATAAATATACATATACATATACATATACCTTTACATTAAATACATATATGTACACGTCACATATGTGTATACAGCTGCTGCTATGAGATATGTAGTACTGAGAGCAAAGGGCATAAAGGAGGATATTGATTGCAAGGAGTTGGCCCAGTGTCCGCAGAGGGCCTCGGAGCGCAGTCGCTCCCCGGCTTCGAAGACCTCGCTCCCAACTTCCAGCAGCGAAAGAGAGCTTGGAGCGCTCTCTCTTTGCTGTCTTTGGGGCACATTTTGGTAGTCTTGCCCTTCATGTTGTTGGAAACTCGCGAGCCTCGGCGGCAAGCTCCATGCCCGCAGAGAGCGCCTCCACCCACCTGAGACTCTGAGCGATGCACTGCGAAGAGCCTGCTACACCGCCTTGCGCTGAAGCGTTTCCACGATTGGGATTTCAGAGCTCCGCATGGGCGTGTTCTCGCCGCACTCCTTGGATTGCCTACCCAGGGTCCGTCTTGGGCACGCGCAGCATGCAGATTCTCATCTTGCTTCTGGGGATAAATTCATTGGCCTCTCGAGCTCTGTTTTCTGGAGGTTGTTCCGCCTTTGCCACGCCTTGGGCACTGATGGGTGCTCATGGGCACTGTCGGAACATGTCGCTGGCCTCGCTCACGTATTCCTGGTACCAGGCGTCGATGCCACTCTGCTCCTGAGCAAAGCTGAAGACCAAGGTCCCTCCGGAGCCCATGCAAGCCCTGAAACGTGCCTTCTTCGCCAAAAGCTGTTGGTAGATCAGCTCTGACACCTGGCCGGGTCTCGAGCTGTTTAGCTGCTAGCCGCCTACTGTGATGCATCTCTCATTTCGGCTCACTGCTGGGCCATATTTCTTGTCAGCTGCTTCATCATCCGTATCTGGCCGAAACTCCTCCGAACCAATTCTCGGCCCTCGGCTTCAGCACATGGCAGGTTAGCGGTATGATGTGCCACAGCGAGGCCACAGCAAGGCCACACACAGGGATGCCATGATTACTAGGAGCTGATCTAAGCTGTCCATCTGCAGGCAAGGCTCAGGTCACTTGTTCGGATTGTTAGGCTTTGTGTGGTGGTGTACTCCTCGAAAGCTTCGGGTCCATTCTCCCGTCCTCGGTGAAGCAGGAAGTGCAAATCATGACATCGACTCTCAGCAAAGTGCCAAAGAGCTGCGAAACCCAACACATTTATGAAAGTTCTTCGAAATCTCCAATGCCGCTCTGGCCGAACCCGCCCCAGGGGCTCGAGGGGTCGTTGCGGTGATGGCAGTTCACCCAGCTCAGCCCACACCGTAACTTGCGAGCCACACGGAGTGATTTCCGGACATCCTCGGTCCAAATGGCGCCTCCCAAACCGTACTGCGAAGTGTTGGCAAGGGCCACAGCATCCTCCTCGGCTTCGAACTTCGACAGGGAAACGACTGGACCAAAGATCTCTTCAGCGAAAGCAGGATTCGTAGTGCTCACGTCCGTCAGCACAGTGGGTTCAAAGAAATGGCCGGGGAGATTGCATCGCTGGGCACTGGGCCGTGAGCCACCGCTCAAAGCTTTGGCACCCGCCGCGATGGCTCGCTTCACTTGGTCTTCCACGCGCTCGAGCTGCCTCCGCCTCGGTGGCATATCGTACGTAGTTGCTGGGTTCTAGGATGTTCTGGGCCCAGCTGGCCTAGGATTGTTAAAGATTCTGTTTAGGGCCCACTCGGCCTTAAGCGACTGTCGGACGCTGATTTCTTCATGCTGAATCCCCCTGCACGACAGCTTTCTCAGCACGGGAACCTAACGGGGACATGCCTGGACATAGCCTGCCGACTTTTGTTTCTTGATCTCCTGAGACTGAAAGGTGGAGGGGTGGGCACGTGGGGCACGGGAGGGCCGCGGCGAGGGGGGAGGGGGGAGGGGGGTGGGGGGTGGGGGCTGGAATCTTTTGGACATTTGCAGTCCCTCATCAGGTGCTTGGACAACTGAGCTGCAGTCGAGATAACTGGGCCAAGATCAGTCTCCGCAGACAAGGGATCACCTAATCTGAGTTGCTCCGCTTTGGCGACAAGTCGGTCCCTGAAATCGTCGAAGACCTCGCTCTGGACCAGAATCCGTTTTCCACTGACACATGTCTGCCCAGAAGCCACAAAGGCAGCAAAGGCCACCCCATCCACCGCCTCTTGAAGGCATCGGGTATCCTTAAAGACGAGGATGGGCGCATTGCCGCCCAGCTCAGCGCAGTAGGCCCGGACACGGCCCGCCTCCGCCATCGCCCGCTGGATCTGGAGACCCGTCGCGGTGCCGCCAGTGAAGTCCACGCGTTCCAAAACTGGGTGCCTCGCGAGCGCCGCGCCCGCCTCGGGGCCTGCCCGATTCTGAAGACAATTAGCGTGCATATATTGAATATTGTCTCCTTCAAAGCCTTATCTCCTTCAAAGCTTTCTCGTTCCCTTCACAGCAAAAAATAAGTTACACTCTCTTTCCTCCGTCAGGCGCCTTCCCCAGGCACCACCTGCAAGTTCCCGGCAGGGAGCCCACTCTGCTCCAGCAGCTCAGCCAGGCGCAGCACGGTCAGCGGAGCCTCCACAGGAGGCTTCACCACCACCGAGTTCCCCGCCGCCAGCGCCACCGAGATCTTCTTGGCTGCAATGAGCATGGGATGATTCCTGGGCTACTGCCATCACTGCCATGTCTGTCACCGCCATCACATCCACAAAACAGCTCTCCGCATTCCAACCCAGTCGAATGTCAAACGCTCAACCCAGCTCAACCCAGCTCAACCTCTTTTCGGGGTTGGCTTTGGTACAAGCCCCGACATCCGAAACTCTCGGCTCTAGCTGCGGCAAACCCTCCCAACAATGCGTCGCAGTATCTTCCAGCAAAGCAAGTCTACAGTTGCAAGGCTCTGTAAGGGTGTTGCTTCTCATGCTTCGGGTTTCCAGCGCGTTGAATGGGGTTGAGGCTCATCACTTGACAATCGTATGTGCACTTTTCTCCAGCATGTTGGAACGACAGCCTGGAAGCCTGCCACTCAGACTCGTCGGACTCATGTCAAGCGGCAAAACTTTGCCCCTGCATACCAAGCTTCGGCCTATGGCCTACGGCCTACGCTGCGACTCCCGGCTCAAAGTTTGCTAAGGGGTGTTCCGGCCGGTTTCCGGGCGGTTCAGACTAAATCATTCAAGTTTCCAGGGCGTGATCAGGCCGCAGACACCCAACGGCACCCTCCACACAAGGTTCACATGGTCTTTGTCCACTACCGGGAGGCGGCCCTCGAAACCCTGTGCCGCAGCATAGGATCCGTGGTACTCGAACCACTCAGGTACCCGGCCCAGCTGTGCCATGTACTCACGGAGGCATCGCCCGGTTTGCCTGGTTTCGATCTCCGCCAACTCCTGCAAGCTTCCCCGCAGCAGCTCGGCAGCCTTGGAGAGCACCCGGCACCTGCCCAATGCTTTTCACATCTTTTTACTGCATAGCAGAAGCTTATGGTTAGCACTCGTAAAAACCCCATCTCCACGTTGCTCATTGCTCTGGGGGACCTTCGTGTCTGTTATAGTGATATGATGCACTGGACTCCTTCCGTCGCGTCGCTGCCACAGCTACGCAGCTACCCTGCATTTCTACCGTATCTACCCTTTTTGAACACGGCACGCGCCCATACGCGCCCTGTGCCCCTCTCTGCGCTCTTGGCTCTCCCAACCCCACACCTCTCGCGGGGCGACCTCTGGCTCCACGAGCCGCTCTCGAAGGCCTCCTGCGCACCCGAGACCGCCAAATCCACGTCGGCGGCGCCTGCGGATGCAAAGGTCGCCACCTCCTCGCCGGTCGCAGGGTTGAGGACGGAAGACCTGTGTCCAGCACTGGCCTCAACGTATCGCCCGTTCATCCACAATCCATAGTGGCCATAGTGGCCATGACGTGAATTCGAGAAAGATCTGCGAAATGGGGCTCGGCACAAGGCCCATCGCGCACTTGCTACCCGCATCGCTGCGCTAATGTCAAGATGTAAATCTTTAAAGGAACTGCGCTGAGCAGAGTTGCCCTTCCTGCCGCTCTCTGCCGCTCTCTGCACTGCTCTCTCGTTTCACAAACAACGGACGTGGCACAGAGCCGTCTGAGCAGCAAAACAGGATGAAGAGCAAAAGGACAAACGGACGCTCTCTCCATGGCAAGCAATGGCAAGCATGCTGCATTCATCACATCAGCCCAAGCCTGATTCTGTGTGTATGTCTCCAGGGCAGTCAAACGGCTGTCTGGCAAACGTTCGATGAAGTGCCAGGAACCCATCACAGACTGCACTCACCCCACAGATCGATCGCAGTCTGGTTCCACACTGCCGCGCTCTGCTGCAGATCCGCCTTCGCCTTCGCCTGAGGTCCGCATACCAGGACCGAGGGCTGCCGCCCGGAAGGCCTCCAGTGCCGGCGTCGCACCTGGGAGCTCTCCAATTCCAAAGTTTCCTGAGGTTATCCAAGGTTCGTCTCAGGAAACTCTGAGAAATTTAGGAAAACAAAACCCGCAACTCCGCTCCGGGCCGATGCTGGGCACGAAGGCATCCTCCTAAAGCACAGGTCTCTCTCTCACTGAGAAAGGTACACACCTACGTATATATCTCCACACATACACATATGTATCAATGCCTTCCAGGACCCTTTTTCCATCCCCCGAAGTCCCAAGAAGAAAAGGAACGCGGCGCTCCTTCCGACCCAGCCGCGGTGGGCCCTGGCCCTGACAGGTTCCGCATCGCCACATGAACCAGTTGCAGTCAAGTGCTTCGTGCTTTGATGTGCTTTGCGACATTCCGCTGTGCTTGGAAGCTCTCAAAACACCACGCTCCCTGCAGAATTTCCCAGCTTAACGCGACGGTTTTTGGACCCGCCGGCGAAAACGAAACAACTATATGCCCATACGCTGGACTCCGTGCACCTGTCTGGATGTCGAGATTCTATGAATGCAGGGAATGGTCTGAAAATGTATGACACGCCGACAGCAACCTGACAAGTGGAGCGTGGAGTTTGCCGGTGTCGGGACAAGCTTGCTTAGTCCACCGAAGCTGTTGGCCCAGGGGCGATTTAGGCAGGAGGACCCCGCAAATCATGGCATCAAGCCTTCCCGAAAAACCTGTGCTCGAAGCAGGAAAGGACCTTTCGACCGCCGAGCCGGCCGATGTGCACAAGCGCTCGTGCTGTCAACAAAAAAAAAACCCAACTGGATCGCTGCATCTTCATTCGGGCACATGAGCGACTCCGAGCGACATGGTGAGGGTGGGGGGGGGGGGGGGGGGGGGGGGGGGGGGGGGGCGGGGGCAGGGAAGAGGGGAAACCACTTCTACATTCATCATCTTTGCAAGAGCAGCCGCGACTGAGTCTCGGGCGTCTTTTCTGGCAGAATACCCATCTCGCACCATGTTGCCGATGCTCCGGATTTGGATTCTGCTTGGATTTCGTAAATTTCTACCCATTCTACTCTCGTTCTACTCTCGTGCAGGTTTCGGAATTATGGCTCGTGACAACTACTTTCTGGAGGGCCTGCCGGCCTTGAAGAAGCAGCAAGACGATGGCAAGTTGGCTGCAAGGAGCACATGCACTACATCAGCCACAGTGGCTCTGTACAGCCCTTTCTCCGTGCCGATACCTACCTCATGAGGTCTCAGTCTATGGCAGCTTCATGCTGGTGAAACGACCGCTGCTGTGACGGACTGGGTACTCCAGCATAGGCGTCTCCAGGGTCCCGAACAATTCTTGTTCAGAGCTGCCCCGAGTTCTGCCGAGTTCTGCCACTCTGCATGCTTTGCCTCGGTGTGAAACCCAACTCCAGGAGAGCGCGCCAGATTGGCGCGACTGACCGAAGCGGCCAAAGACACTTAAAGTGACAAAAGTGTGACAAAACAACCTAGAGCTTCAGTGATTCAGTGTTGAGCTTCTGCTTACTTCTGGCAGTTCCCGATGACCCACTCCATGCCTTCCTGCCAGAACCCGTCGTAATCAGGGCTCTTCTTGTGTAAGCGTACTTTAAGTTCACTCGGGGTTTTCTCTCTCTGTTGTTTGCTTTTTTTTTGTTTTGTTTTCTTTTTGTTAGGGGGGGGGGTTTAAGGCAGCTTCTGGAGGGAGATCTTGCCCAAGGAGAGTCCAAGAGTATGCAAACAACGATTCTGTACCGTAAGTTGTCGGGGAGCCCGGAGCGTTGTTTCAGCCAGTCCTTAGTTGACCGTCAGCCTCAGGTGGTAACGTTCTGGGTGAGCAAAGCTACCCAGCACTTTTAGACATTACAGTGTATTACCGAGAATTCCAGTCTCTGTGTCTCTCTGTGTCTCTCTGTGTGTCTCCGTGTCTCTCTGTGTCTCTCTGTGTGTTTGTATGTTTCTGCGTGTCTCTGCGTGTCTTCGTGTGTCTCTGTGTGTCTCTGGGTCTCCGGGTCTCTGCGTCTCTGTGTCTCTATGTCTCTGTTTCTCTGCGTATGTCTCTGTGTCTGCATCTGACTCTGTGGGACTGTGTGGGGCTTGAGGCTTATAGGGCCGCTGGGGTTCAAGAATCCACCACACACCCTGAGCCGAAATCTGCCTGACCGTCCTAACCATTCTCCGCCTCCCCAACTCTCAAGGCACAGCTGGCCTGCAGCCCTTCGCCGTTCTTGGCGCTGCATGCCTGGATAGTCCACCTTGTCGCATGAGTTTAGTGAAGTTTTGTGAAGTTAGTGTTTTTGGAGAGAGAACGAGGGAGTTTAGGGAAGGTGTCAGGAACGCGTCTCGAATGTGCAACACCCTAACTTCTCGACAGAATGCACTCGGTCGGTGATGCTCGCCAGCCCCATAACTTCCGCGATCTCGTCCGCAGGCGTTGCTTGCAACAGGTCCTCTACAGGCAAAAATCTTGGCGATGGCCAGTGCACTGGTGCACGCCGCTGGGCTCCTGCTTGTTGGCATAGACCAGCCTCAGCAGCAACGCGAAAAGACAAAGAGGCGGAGAGTCAATGAGTCCCTGCCAGACAGGGCTCTCCGAAACAAAGCGGCGCAACACAGATCAAGAGAGCACAGCCGAAGCGGAATATGGCCCACTGAGTCACTGAGCACCGGGCATCGGTATCCCACCGAGCTTGTCCTCGGCCAGGAGCTCCCGCAGCTCTGCACTGCTCTCTTCGAGACGACGCCTGTCAGAGGAGTCGATGACATAGACCTCAGAAGAAAGCAAAGAGACAAGAGGGAGGGCTAAAAAAGGAACCCCGGGCTGCGAGGTGCCTCAAAATTCATAAGCAACTCTCTCCAAGGTGAGCAAGAAAGCTGCAGTAAGCTCTGAGCCAGCGCGTCAGTGTTCTCGAAGTAGTTGCTCCAAAAGGGCCGAATCGCTTTCTGACCGCCTATGTCCCAAACGTTCAGCTTGAAGCCTTCTTGGTGGATGGTTTTGATGTTGAATCCCTGCAAGGTGCAGCTCTCTCTACCCATCTCGAAGAAGGCTCAAAGGCTTGTGCCAATCTGTGTGTCAACGAAAACCGGCTCGAATCCAAGACGATATGTGTTAGCAAGAAAGCAAACAGCAACCGATACCAGACTAAATGGAAAGGAGAGTTCAGCTCTCGCCGATGGCCTGTGTCGGCATGATGTGTGAGATGTCCTCCTCGGACCTCTTCAAAAGCTGGGAAAAGCAGGCGAAATCCCGAGACTTACCATGTTCGTCACAGCAACAACCAGCCGACCGAAGCACTAATCAGGCAGCCCAGGCACAACTTCTTGAGAATGGTGGTTTTGCCAGCGTTATCCAGGCCCAACACCAGGATCCGCGCTTCCTTGTCGTCCTGCATCTCTCCAAAACAAACGAACTGCATAAGAACTGTCGCAGACCACTTTCCGCTTGCCCTCCCAAAATCCTTTTTCATCTTCTTCAGAATGTTGAGCAGCCCCATGGCAACTTGGCTGAGCACACGGGGGATGAACAGGAGGCGCCCACTTGCAATCAGCAACTGCTGTTGCACAGCGCATTACGCGCATTATTCAAGCAGATGATGTGCACTCGTGCGAGTGAAAAGCCGGGTCAAAAGGGGGCAACTCAAGCTTCCATGGCGCATGGCGCGCTTCCGCATTTTCAACTCTTCTGCCGGGCACACAAGCGTTCAGAGAGTCCACGAAGAACTCCTGGGTCCGAGTCTTCAACGGACCCAGGATCCGTTGCCGCTTCGCGTCACTTGGGGCTTGCAGCCTCGCTTGGGCCCTGAGCTGGGCCTCGGCTAAAGGAGAGAAACGCGATCTTGAATAGGCAGAGAGGACTCCAAACAGGATCCGTCTCGAGCCTTTTGAGGCCGTCGCCTGACTCCGTGGAGTTCTTTGTCTCTGTGGAGTTCTGTGCCTCTGTGGAGTTGGTCTCTGCCTCCGCCTTTGAAGGCCGATGTTGGTTGCAGGGAGTTGCACAGAGGAACCTTGGTCAAAGAGGGGCCTCCTTCATCTGCTCTGTGGCCTTCTTCCGCTCCTCTGTGCCTGGGATTTGCCGAGGCAAGCTCAGGACTCGCACTCTTCGCGCCGCCCCAAGAGCCCCCACAAGTTCGTGTGTGCCACATTCTGACCTAACTTCTTCGTTGACCTCAGAGGCAAGCGGCGCAGCTTGTGGACTAATTGCATCTGGACGTTCATGCCATGGTCCAGCTCCTTCAGGAAGTCCTGATAGCCTTGCAACTCCGCGGGCTCTTCAGGATCCTATGGTCCTATACAAGCCCCTTTGCACTCTAGCTCTCTTCCAAGCTGCGCGATTTCTGCTGGAGCCAGGTGTCCTAGGTCTCTGAAACTCTCTGATTAACACGGAGGCCGCAATAAGGTCTCCACGATTGCCCTGCAACTCGGGTGCATCCGAGCTGCGGCGTGATCCACGACAGGACCCTTAACTTGGTCCTCGTACGCTGCCGCGTCCTTCTTGAGCCTCGCGCGCCCGGGGCAAATTGGAAAAGGCAAACGCCGACGCAGCGGGGGATGCAGGGAATGCAGGGGCCCCCGCTGCCCAATCCGACTTGTCAGGTCCGCATAATCGAAGGCGTCGTGGGCCTCCACACGGACGCCTTTACAAAGCTCTTGCAGAATCTGGGAAAGTGAATCCCGGCAGCAAACCGCATCCTGCGCCGGCGGGCCCGGAGGGCTTGGCGGGCGGAGGGCGTTGGTGCCGCGCTCCTCCCGCGACGCTACTCTGCGACACTCGACGTGGTTCGTCCAAGTTTGCCCTCATTCTTGCCCTTTGTAGACTCTCTCACCTGAGGCCGCTCAGCGCCAAGTCTTGCGAGGAGGAGGGCCAGGGCCGCGCAGCACCTGCTGGCCCATCCTTGCACAAATCGGGCATGGGGTGTTTTTTTCGGGTTTTGGTTTTCGGCTTCAACAGCTCCGGATCGAGCAGTCTCTAGTCGAGCTTGGTACCTCGGGCTAGGAAACTACCGAGAATCCCAAAACAGTCAGAAATACAAGGGTTAATAGTCCGTGCCCACGAATTTTCGGGCCTTGCCCACGAACTTTCGCCGAGAAATCGTGAGCAACGCCGGGAAATTCGTGTTCTTCGTCTAGTCCAAAGTCTTTCGCGGGGCTTCGTGGGGGAACTTTCGCAAGGCCTATCGCGATAAGCGAGGGCTTCGACGACTTAATTAGTAAGCTCCTCAGAATGGATCCTTGTAGTGCTTACGCTCCCTCTTGTCGGATTGGGTGTGGCTCACGCGAAGCGCTATCAAAACACCTCAAAGCACTTCAGAGCACCTCCGTGCGCCCCTCTGACCTTTTAACGCCTTCCTATAAGCCCTTTTCCCTAAACCCGTGGTCTGGGCCCTTGGCTCATCGAAGCATGGCTTCGAAGGCAGGCCTGATTTAGTTCAGCCGTGGCTGCGGGTTCTGCCGTTCTGCCTGCTGTGCACCTGGGATCTCCGAAACCGGCGGAGTATTTACCCGAACTTACCCCCTTGTCTCCGTTGCAACTTCTTTCGTCTGCTCCTTGCGGTCAGCTCCTCTCTCCCAGATTTGGGCGTCCAGCACATCAGAATTGAATGCAAGACGACTGACCCTCTCCAAACAAGGTTCGCATAACAACTAGCCAACAAAAGCCTCCTGAAGTATCATGTTCTCGCAGTTCTCTCATATCTGAAGTGAACGTCTTAGTGATCTTAGCGTCTGAAAATGACTTAGCGACTCACTGTGCTACTTTGCGGGTTTTCGGACAGTGCCCTCTCGAGCTCCCTCAAAGAGTCAGAGGGCCAAAGAGCACCGACCTCGCATCCTCGAACCACACTGCAAGGAGTGCACTCCTGCAGTCCTACAATCTCTCCAGCATTCTCCAGCAATTAGTCTCTGCTATTGCATATGCTACGGATACGGGATTCTCTTGCGGGTTCTACGTTGCGTTGAATGAGAAAGCGAGGCGTGTCCGGCGTCGAGGGCTGCGTGGGTGAGACTCCGTCAGGCATGCGCGTGCTCCACGGCCCTAGGCCCTTCATTCGATCATGGTTTTTTTGACCAGTGCGCACATGCCCAGCGGCATGTTGTGCCCTGCGCACTCACGGGCACTCAAGCTCGGAACATCATTTGCCAAGGCTTGAGGCCCGGATGTCGCCTGGCAGATTCCGTACTCCGGCATGGAACCAAAGGACATGCATGAAAGAGAAACACAAGCTGACGCCGTCAATCAACACTTGCAGCTCAAGTTCTCGTAGATGCTCGCCCCCAGAAGTGAGATATCTTTCGGGACTGCTGGCACCGAGATGTGCTATTAGATTATTATAATAGGGCTTATACGCAAAGGAGTTGCATTGTTGTGATGGTTTGGGGATCTAACACACGGTGACTCCAGAAAGTGCTATGTGACACATTCTCATTGATAAGGGCTTCTGGAATACCTTTTATGGGGCAGAGCAAAGAGAGCTGAGGCTGGAGAAGCGGCTGACCGGGCTCCGGGTTTTGGGCTAAGAATTGTGTCTCTCTCTCTCTCTCTCTCTCCTCTTCTTCTTCTTCTTCTTCTTCTTCTTCTTCTTCTGCTTCTTCTTCTGCTTCTTCTTCTGCTTCTTCTTCTGCTTCTTCTTCTGCTTCTTCTTCTTCTTCTTCTTCTTCTTCTTCTTCTTCTTCTTCTTCTTCTTCTTCTTCTTCTTCTTCTTCTTCTTCTTCTTCTTCTTCTTCTTCTTCTTCTTCTGCTGCGCTTGGGGGGTGCCTAGGACCCCATCTCTCTCTCTCTCTCCGCATCTTTCCGCCTCACAAAGGAAGACCTCCGGAAAGCATCGTAAGCGTCAGGGACCTAAGTCACTTAAGAGTCACTTTTGAAACTTGAAACATGAAAGCTCCGCTTGAACGAAATTTCCGCCAGAAGCGGAAATCCCCGACATCCCCGCGGGCCCGGGCTGATTTCACCGTCGCTCATCATCCCCGCGTCCCGGAAGTCTGTGGGGCCTGGAGATCCAGCGAACTCAATGAGCTCTCAATGAACTCAATGAATTCAATTTGACATGTACGGCACAATCACGGTCAAGATGTGGGCAACTGTGGGCATATGATGGTATATGTGTGGAGTCGGCAAAGAGGGGCAAGCTGGAGAAGCCAAGACAAAGCATCGCAAGGCAACGCCAAGGCAACGGGTCACAATGCTCTGCAGCGCCGAGCGGCTGTTCAGCCCAAGGCTGGACTTGCCCTCCTGAGAGCGGCTTTGAGGCGATCTGTTCAACACGTGTCCCCACGCGCGCACACGAACACACACACACACACACACACAGATATATATATATATATATATGTATATTTATCTATGTATATATATATATATATATTTGTTTATTTATTTTACATATATATATATATATATATATATATATCAGAGACATCCATCGGCCTATGGGCGTTCGCTCTATGTCGCTCTGTCTTTGTCTTTGTTCGGCTCATCTCGGCTTCCGACAGCCTCCGGCCGCTTCTCGTTCACCAGATCGATGCCCTCACAGAGACCACAGATGAACGGAGCTGAACGAAGTCAGAGAGTTTCAGAGAGCGGGCTTTAACTACCCGAAGAGCCCACGTCGTTCGGACTACCCTGCTTTGAGATTGTCGCCTGGGCATGGCTGAAGAGCTCCAGCTCGGAGGTCAGCCGCTCCTGCGGTTGCACTGGGCAAAGTAGTGGCACTTGGTGGAACTATCGGCTGTGCTGCAAGATGCCGTAGGGCCGTAGGGTTTCTTCCCCCGGTCCTTGCCCGCAAGGAGGAGCCCAGGGGCCAGCTTGTGACCTCGCCAGGGCGCGCTGCATGGTGCGGATGGCTGTGGACCACAGAGAGATCACTCGGTGTCTCGTGTCAGCATGACTTGTCCACGCCTGGGCAGACTCCTTTTAAACGCACGACGGTCTCGTTCTCCTGACCCACACGGGTCCAGGATGGTGAGGGAAGGGATTGAACGCGCTGCAACAACAAGCGTAAGACGTGAGTAAGACGGGTGCAAGATTGTCTGACAAAGCGACCAACAGGACAGCATCCCCACCGTATGCCGCAATGCCACCCCGTCCTGTCGTAGGGTCTTGAACATCCGGGCCATCCTGCGCAGATCAAAGAAAAACAACCTACCAACCACGATATGAAATGCACGTATATACATATATACATTATGTATATATCACATACTCGCACACCGCGTGGCCTCGCTATGGATCGCACCTTCTTCCGCATTCGGTCTCGAACCTCTGGGTCGACCTGAGAAGGCGGCGGCGACATGCCCTTCTGCCGGCGACGTCTTCACCCTTTCGTGCCTTGGAACCACTTGCTTCTCTTTCCTTGGCGTTCTCGCCCGAGATCAAGGCCTTAAGCTGGACATGCCCTATGGAGGCTGCGGCTACGGAGTAGAGACTCTGAGATTCTGGTGCACAGATGCGCACACAGGTGTGCGCGGCATAACGAAGCCTGCCCTGATCCCTGAATTCTCAGGTCAGTTCAGCCAGACGCGTGGCCATGTCCACCGTCTGGACACAGGAATTCAGCACTGGCCGTCACAGCACAATGCTCAATCCAGGATATCACGAAGGGCCAGGAGCCTGGTTCTGATCGTCGGTCAGGGAGGCCTAAGATGGGCAAGGAGAACATGATCGCACAAGCCGCGGCAAAGCATCAGGCGGCCAGGCGCAAGGCTCAAGTCAGAGACTCAGATCTGAGGTTCCTGGCCCTATGGTTCACCCAGTTGGAATCAGGCAAAGTCGGTAAGGCCTCGAAACGACATTTCACGCCGGCGGCTCCTCTGAAAGGTGTTGTAATGTGTTGAAATCGTCTGCTAAGCTTGGAGCAACGTCATCGTCGGAATCCACGGTACCAGCCGCAGGCTGTAGGATGTAGTAGAGCATTTCCGTCACCTTCAGAAGCTCAGCGTTGAAAAGCTCGGATGAGCTCAGGTTCTACACATGCTTGCCAAGCCTTTTCAATGACGAAGGGCATGCTCCACTGGAAAACATCCATAAAGTTTGGCCTCGGTGAGCAAAAAAACGGATCGCACAAGCATGGACGGCACCTTAGCTTGGCTGAGCTTGGCTGAGCTTGGCGGCGCTTTGGCTGATTTTGCAAGTTCCTCGTCCACATAGGCCTTCGGACCCGAATCTGAGAAGCACGCAGGTGGTAGGGGTGCCTTAGCTTCTGTTGCCCATCGCCCTTCGTCCCTGTGCTATCTGAAGCAAAAGCCTTGGTGTGCAACAGCCTGGGGAGGCTACGGTGAGCAGTTGAACTGCAAGATGTTCAAGGTGCTGTTGTCAAACTTGAGAATGGCTCCCTTTGCCGCAGTGACTCGTCCGGTGAGTCAGGTCAGGCAAGTGTTCTTCCATTCTTTGTGATGGGCCTTGTTGTTGTAAACATCGCAATAATTCGGCGCGGAGAAAATTGTGATGACCTGCGTACGCGTGTGTTCCGACATCAGGCAGCAGGGCTGCAATCAAACACCCAGAGGCGACCTGTGCAAACCAAGCCCGGCACAAGCGGAAAACCAGTGCTTGGATTCGTCTTGTGCATTTTGTAGCCTGTCGACAATAGCCAGCTCGCCCACCGAGCCCTCCCCGCAAGCCACGAGTCTTATCCTTACACTTTCTGACACCCTACGAAAGCTAAACGTAGACCGTCAGAGACCCCAAAGAAAAACTGTACCCTTTGCACCCCTGAAGACCAAAGACCAACCCTTTGATAGCCCCGGCGCGGCACAACTCCAAAGATGCTACGCTGACGGGCTGACGGCCTTCGAGCTGAGCCTCGTGAGCTCGAATGATCGACCTGCGATTTCGGCCAAATTTCGGCTTCATGCTTTTGGCTCAGGGCCCTCCGTTCCTCTTATTCTCTTTGCTTCCCTTTGCTTGATTGTATTCATTGGTGTTTGTGTTAAGTTGCTTTAGGACTTCAGGCTGCCAGGCTACCTGATGCCAAGCAGCGAGGCTGCCAACCCACCACAGGCAAGCGGAAGTTCCAAAGAGAGCTCTTCAAATTCAACCTGCTACTGGTTGGAGCGATGCTGAAAGAGCTCCCTGGCGCCAACAGCCGTTTAGTCGTTCAAAGTGTTGGGATGACTGTTGCCATCGTTCACACGGCAGCTGTGCAGTCCAACTTCAAGGTCTTCGTCGGCCTGTGGTGCCTTTGCTTTGTTGCTTTGGTGGGCCATTCTCCACCATCTCCACAATTCCAAGGGGAAAAAGGCCCCTCAGGTGCTACTCAACCCTTTGGCAAATGCAGAGGCGCACCCGAAGAAGTCCCAGAAGGGTTCCAGGGCCCCTCGGAGTTCCAATTGCGACCAAAATACCAGTCCGTTGCTTTGGGGTGCCCAACACAGGGCCACAGGGGTGGTTCGTAGTAGTCTGACGACTTCCATCTAACCATCCTGTGATGTGGAACCATCAACGATGCATCGGGGGAGCCGCGTAGCACTCCGAACTGCATGATGCCGGCTGCATTGCGGCAAGCAACAACAGAGCAGGCATTGATGTTGCCAGTCGTTACATTAGCGTCATTAGCGCTTGCAGCCGCCATGGGAGACACAGCGCGTGTGCGGGCACTGTGCCAGCATCAGCAGCAAGCCCTTGACCCCGCCACCAACGAATTTCACTGACTCTCTGATTCGTGCTGTGGCTCGAGTCTGGCTTCTTTTGGCAATCTGCGTTGGGGGGAGGGGGGGGGGGAGGATCTTCCAGCGCATCGCACTCATCGCACCAAGGCGCTGGCAACAAGTTGTTCTTCTTCAGAAACGTCGTCGCTCCATCAAAACCTGGCATGACGATGCGCCGCAGCCGAAACTGCCACACAATCCAACGATGCCAGCGCCACTGTAGAAATAAGAGCAGCCGCGGACCTCAAAGAGTCGGGGATTTCCAACAACAAGTCTCTTTTTGCAAATAGGAGGCCCTGCTCATGCCCTGCTCATGCCCTGCTCATGCCCTGCCCATGACTTCTCAGACCTCGTTGGGCACGAAGGGCGGGCCGCCCTTCTTGGCGCTTGGCCGCCTGAGCAGCTTGGGAGCAGCTTGGAGGGGTCCCAAAAGAAGAGAGACAGCACAGGGGTCGATTTAGTTACTAGTAAGGGGTGGGACTGTCATTGATGCAGGCTGTACGGCTCTCTGGGGGTCAGGACTGCTCTCCGTCTTTGGGTTCTAGCGGATCAGACCTGAGCTGCAATCTCGCATCACCGATTGCCAGATGACCAAAGCACAATCTAAGCACAGCGCCACAACAAGTCACCTCAGCCGTACACAATCTGCAGCAGGCGCCAGGCGCCCGAGTGATGTCAACAAAAACTCTTCTCAAATTGCATCCTGGCTGCACAAGAGGCCTTCCTTTGGAGGCTCAGTGAAGCGGTTGATCTTTGTAATCGCCTCGAGCGCAGGACTTTGCACCAGAAGGTTCGGTCCTACATCCTCAGCGATCCAGAAGACACGACAATATCGGCCTTGACGTTGCCAAGGTCTGGAGAGAGGCCACCGTGAACACAAAGGAACCTGGACAGGGCCCCCGCAGGAACCCGGTAGTGCGGTGGAAAATCGAAGCGGCGACCAAAGACACGAGGAGACGCCAGGCTAGCATAAGTTCATAAGGTCAGGGCTTGCCATTGATGGTGGCTGCTAGCGGGAGGTTGTCAAAGGAATCCTTGGCTGCTCGCCCAGACCTAATTAGGCCGCTACAGGCTCCCCCCCAAAGAGACTTCAGAGTGCGCCGCAACAGAACGGTCCCTCGACTCGGGCCAGGTCCATGAAAGCATTGTAGACTCCAATGTCGTACTTGTACTCACACTCCTGACCCAGGCTGGCCACCAGGATGGAAATCTCAAACACATGGAATCAAGATGCTTCAATTGATGCTTCAAGGTGGAAGCGATGGAGCCTCCCGGAAGTTGAAGAAGGACGTCATTTGCCGGCATTCGTGGTTTCCTCGGAGCATTCGTACCTCAGCCCAGCATTAGCAACACTGAAACAAATGCGACAGGGCCCGATGCCAGCTGGGGGATGCTGGGCTCTGAGCCTGCTTGGGGTACTTGATCTTGAGCGAGTACAGCACGGCAACGACCTGAAGGCGGGAAAAAAGTGATCAATGGAATCAGGCATCGCAGATCATCGCAGGCCGCCGGCCTCCACTGAGAAGGAGCCACCTGGGCAGCTCAGAAGTCGGAAACGCTGGGTAGAATTGTTACGAGAATATATGCAAGACACAGCGAGTTCCCCCCCCTAAGTTGTATCCGAGACACGGTCAACATAGTCCCCCAGAAAAATGTACTGAGTGTCACCGGGCTGCCCACCAACCTCCAAATCCGAATCCGCATTTTGCTGCTTCCCCAAAAGCTGCGCAACGCTCCACTGACAAGATCAGAAAGATCAAGCTGACAGCAGAATAGCTCCTCCAGTAGCTTCACCAGGTCGTAATACTGGCCTCTCAAGGAGAGCGTTCTCTCCCCCTGCTCCTCGGAAAGCCTCCTCTCGAAGTTTCTGAGCTGCTCGCCGTGGATGTCTCCAACTACTGTAATCGGGTCGTTGAGCTTCAACCTTGAAGGGCCCCAAATTCAGCTTGCGCGGGGGCGCGAGGAGGGGGGGGGGAGAAGCATTCAACTGCTAAGCCCATGGGGTGCTGACAAGTTGGGTTCATCCTTGAACAGGTCTGAGGCCTCACGCTCAAAGCCCGGTACCAAGCTCACTGCCGCGAATAGCACCTGCCTTGCTAATGATGTCCAAAAGGAGCTCCTGGGACAGCGCTCCTTCCAAAATCCTGCGCTGAGCACTCTCCATCCAACCACTGCAGTGATCACGCAGAGTGGCTACCTTTACGTTGATCCAACTGAGGGCCCCGGCAAATGCTCCATTAGCACCGCCATATTCGGCTCACCATTCCTGGACATGGGCTCTCTGGCATTTGGCTTGTGAGACTTTCTTGCAACTCTTTCGGGACTCTCAAATCCTTTATATTGGTTTCTTGGCAATTCTTGGGATGTGGGGAGCATCTGTGCTTTCGCAGCTTTCACGGCGGCTTCCTGAGAGTCTTCAGGGATGCGGAGCGCTGCACAGGTCTTCTTAGCTTAAAACTCCTCCAAAACATCAGAAGATCAACGCTGAATGTCAGCATGCATGCTGCTACACTGTGCTTCTATACAAAGCTTTTACAGTGCTTGTACAGCAACCGGCTCACGGCCCCCCACTTCTCGTAGAAGGTTTCGGCAGTCAACAACTGCGCGGGTGGCAAGGGCACCTGCAAAGGGCACAAGGCACAAGCACGCAGATTTCAAGACAAAGTTGAAAACCCATTGCTGCTCCTTTCGTTTTGTGGGGACCTTCGGACAGTGAACTGGCGCTTGAAGCTCCGAATTCTCTGTGTAGTTGTTGAATCTGACATCTCTCAGAGCCTCCTTCACCGGCCGATCTTGCAACGGATCCTGGCAAGGCAGAAGGAGAAACCGGGGCCCGGTGAGCTCTGAGTTGAAGGATGTTAAAGGGTGTTTTCGGGTTCTTGGAAGTTTCAGTGCGCCAGACAAGTGCTCTGTCCTGCAGCCGTTGCGGCGGCTTCCCGGGCTCCGGAGGTGTCGGACTGAGTGTGGCCGTCCCGCAGAGTCCCGCACTGACCCACATAGACCCACATAGACCCACATCACACCAACACACGGCAAGCAGAAAATCTCCCCCAGCTTTGTGTTGGGGCTCCCGGCGGCATTCCCACCGCCTGAGCTCCGTGAAGCTAATGATCGTACAGGTTTAAAGTGTGTCAAGGTCACAATGCGTGCCGAGCGTGCAGCTGGCCCAACTCGCAGTTGGGGGCAAATTAGGGATCATTTGCTGGAGTCGAATATATGAGCCAATGGCCACACGCAGAAGATGCCAGCGTCCAAGACTATCGAAAACAGCGACGCAGGCTCCGGAACTCACCAACCCCCCCCCCCTCCCCCAACAACAGCTCAACAACCCCCCCGAGGCGCTTAGCTTTCTCCGCCGGCGCCTGACATCTTTGGGAGGCACACACACGACTCTGTGACTCACACGCCCTCACATGTTCTCAGGTCCAGCTCGGCACCTCGAAGAATTGGACAGCTTCGGTTCGGGTTTCAGGGGTACAGGCTGGCACAGGTTGAAAGGTTCAAAGAACAAACAACACCAAGTGCTCTGAGACAGCTCCGAGACGGTGGCTCGGAAGCCATTGCCCTTGCCATAGCCTGGACAACGAAGAGTATTCATTGACGATCAAGATGATGACGGATTTATTGGATCAAGTACAAAACATTTACCAAGACTAGATGCTACACATATAGGCGTTGATGTGTATGGGTTGTTTAACAACGACTAATGAAGATATTGGAGGAACATTAATGTGCGCAGCATTAGTGGAAACATCAGATGTAAAATGAGAAGACAATAGAAAAGATGTCAACGCGAAAGATTGTTTCAAAGTAGTTCGTTTTGTGAACCAAGGACATATAATTTGCTAAAGATGAAGAAAGAAAAATCGACTTGGATGTTTAGCATGCGACATAAAAATCAAACTACTTCCTGAATGGGACAGCAGCAATGAAAGAGAAAAATATCAAAGTTGAAACGTGAAATTAGAGGCAACTGATGAATAAACATAATGATCAGATAATATGACTAATCTTGTTCTATTGATTTTAAGTATTCTTGACTGCGGCTCCTTTCATGATATCAGGAATGACTATGTGCGTGAGTTGCCCCGCATCACAAACATCTTTTATATTTCTGTCTGATCTTGTCTATGTTCTTCTCTCTACAAACCCTATCAGCTTCTCGTTGATGTTCCTTATTCTTTCACAAGATATTCGTTTTCTCAGCCCTTTCTGCTTATGTGCGTGGTAGTATGCGTTGCTTTCGGCACACATTCTTCCTTGATTTTCTTGGCAAAACTGTGACCTATTGACGCATTCACAGTTTTTTTAATGCATTCGCCCTCTCGTTTCAACAATTCCTCTGTGGTTTCACACTTGCAATAGTCAGTGAGTTCAATTTTACAGCTATCGACACCAAACTCCTCAAACATGTCAGCAACGTTCATGTTGTGCTTCTCCCCTTCTTGTATAGTTTATGCTGATGTCTACGTTTTGCTCATCCTCCTACTTAAACGTTCAGTAGTGCAATGGCAAACACAATCGTGGCTTAAGTGTCAAGATGGCAGAAACTGCCTGTTCTTAGATGCAAACGAAATACCTGCCGTAAAGAAGCTAAAGCAACAACTGAGCACGATAAAGTCATTGTTACATTGTTAATGTTGCAGAAGACCGTTCTAGTTTTCGCATGCACCTTCCTACTTCAGAGGGGGGCGCGAAAACAAGTTAGAAGACACCACACCAGAAATTGGAGGAGTTGCACTTTGTGGCACAGGATGGAGCGAAAATCGTGGGAAAAAACCAGCAAAATGCGAAGAACGACTTAATAGAATTGAAGAAGATGCAGAAAAAATTGACAAAGGCGTAGCACAGATGAAGCATAATCATATGAATCCACCAGATTAACAGTGAGAAGTTTAAAGTTTAAAGCCTACTATATGTTGACAGTGTACAGCCTTTTGACACTGAAAATGAAGCAGGAACAAATGCCATAAGTCCAAAACATAAATGCAATCGCCCCCGACCGTTTCACGATGAGAGGATTGAAAAATTGAAGTATCTGACACTCTCGTCAAATTATCGTGTCGTACGCATGCGATGGGAACTTGCCGTTGGACCTGCAGGAATCTGTCGTTGTGTTATGAACTGTTTTGACCATTCATTCTAGAATGCTTGTTGTTGTATTCGCTGAGACGTCAGAAGTTGAAGATAAGCTGTTGGAATACAAGAGGTGCGCAAAGAAGTCTTCAATGGATAACTTCGTAGATGTTGGTAGCCAGTGTTATTTACAACCTGTAAGTACTGCACAGAGGGTTCGCGAAAGGATGGCGAGAAGAACGCAACGCGCGTAGAGAGCTTTAGAACTTTAATCTATGTTTGTATGTATGACGAGAAGCATTCTCAATTTATGTCAAGGAAGAAAACGATTTAAAGAAATCTGAGCATATATTTATATTTACATTTATTTTTACATTTATAATTTATATTTATATTTATATTTACATCTATATTTATATATATGTATATATCTTTATATCTATATTCATTTATCTACTTATGTATTTCTTGATATTAATACTAGAAGAGAGGCGAAGCGAAATTGGTATGTGAGGAACAACGACGAATATAACTGGATGAGACGGCAAGAAAGAGCAAGAGAAAGCCGACTATGTGAGGAATGCAGACACAGAGTTAAACGGGACAATGAGTATACATTTCTAAGACACGCGCATCCAAAAGGTTACAGACGAGCTGAGAAAGGAAATAATGGCAGAATACTGGAGGGAGCAACTTCAAATCCACCAAATTTTCACGAAGACGACCGTCTCCACATAGGAGCAACTTCAAATCTACAAGCGATTACATCCGATGTTTTCAGACAAAGCATCATTGAGAAACCCAGAAACGACACCAGAAAGCAAGAACTTTTGAACAGCTAGAATGCTAGAACTCCTTGAACGAGCGATACCCCTTGAGCCATTACAGCAATTGGTACAATCTATTTCAAAATACAGTGGGTCAATTCTATCTACCTAGGCTTGCCGATTGGAAAAATGGATTCTTTATGCACAATAGGCTGACAATCGTAGGCGGGGCACAGGGCAAGCCAAACCTAACTAGGGGCGAGCCCAAACCTGACTGATACACGTCTTGTCTACAAGTCTGCCAGGTGCCTCCATAGCCCGGCCTGACAGCGAACAAAGAAATGATGTCTGTACATCCAGCGGACGCGCTTACAATGCAGCCATGCGTTTGGGCTTCTCTGAACAGCCTCTCTTCTCAGCCGGTTTGCTGTAAAGGCATCACTGCTGCCGCCAAGAGAAGGAGTTGTGCGTATGCAACAGCTTGTCCCAGCAGGAGGCACTTCGAAGAAACAAGCATCGGTCTCTCAACACGAGCCAACCTCACCAGAGCTACAGATGCACTGCTGCAAGAACGGCACACGCCTCCACCAGCCCTTCTGCGGCATGGGCCTGGGCCTCGTGAGAACAGATTCCGATTCCCATGTCACGATCATTCACGCTCATGCACGCTCCATGCTCTTCTCTCCAATTCGCCCCCCGCCCGCTCGGAAAGCTCGCCGCTGGCGCAACACCTGCGCCTTCGACACCGCTGATTCTTCCCGACTTGGAACATCGAAGTAGGAGTTCAAGGGACTGGCCGGCCTTTTTCCTTCAGCAGGACCCGGGGCCGTGCCTGGCCCATCCCAGCATGCTGTCATATGCTGTCCCTTCCAAACTTTCCGGTGACCAATTTCCGAAGTGCGCTCCTCCATCGGCATCTCCGGTGGCCCGGGTGGGGCCAAGGCCGCAGCCGGGGCCTCGGGCGGCTCGCCCGGCGGCTCGGGCGGCTGGGTGGGCGGCACGCCGGGCGGCACGCCAGGCGGCTCGCCCGGCGGCGGCTCCGGCGGTTGGGGCCTGGAAACAACATCGATACACGAATCAATCGATACACAAATCGAAACGAAAGGAACCTCCCAAAGAATTGGAATTCTGGAAATATGAGGTCGGCCTCAAGACCCGCAACCGTATGGACACCTTCCGGCCCTCTTTCAACTCCAGCTCCAAGCGCCTCGGGCCGCAACTGCGAGACACTTCCTGGCCCATTTCTCACCTACTTCTGCCTCCTGAGATTTGCGAAGGGCTCGGAAAACTCCATGCCGGGACCTCGAGTCTGACTCGCAAACACGGCGGCCGTGTATCTCAACGTGCCCAGCGGCCCGCACGGAGGTTGAACTCCAGCAGAGGCCCTTCCACCTCGGCGGATCTCACCTCGGCACTCGGCATCCCAACTCTGTCACATGCGAGTGGATGCCACACTCCACAAGCAAGATGCGGCGATGCACTTACAGAAAGATGATGCGATGCACCCTCCTGCCCGATAAACTTGTTGCATTAGCGCGAGTCGTGTTCGCTCTCTTTGGCCGTAGGCCTAAGACTACCCCTCCATTCATACGAGTCACAAGATTGAGGCTTCTTTTGTGATGTGAAACATTTTTGCCTACAGCCATGCAGCTCAGGCCATCAGCTCCGACGTCGCTCAGTATGGCGCGTAGCCCTTTCCATAGCCACCTCCGTAGCCGATCGCAGCTGCACCATAACCTGCTCCCTTTCCTCCTGCGGCGGCACCATATCCGCCTCCCTTTCCACCGAAGCCACCTCCATAAGCTCCACAGCCGCCGCCGTAACCACCCTTGCCGCCACCGTACGCGCCGCAGCCGCCGCCATAGCCACCACCATAGCCGCCTCCGTAGCCACCGAAGCCTCCTCCCATTCCATATCCGTTACCAAAACCGCCCTTGCCGAAGCCTCCTCCGAATCCACCAAAGCCTTTGCCTCCAAAGGGCTTGCCTTTACCCTTAGGCATCGGTACGATTGGCTTGCAATCGATCCACTTGCCTTCGAAGGTGTTCTGGTCGTAGTTGTCCAAGACTAACTTAGCAGAAGCTACATCCTCAAAGGTCACGAACGCAAAGCCCTTGCACTGACCATCTTCTGCCATCTTGACGGTGACCTCCTTTACTGCTCCAAACTGACCAAAGTATGCCATCACTGACTCATCAGTGGCGCTCTTTGGCAGTGCACCGACGAAGATCTTGGGGTTGTTCGGGTCAATCGCACCCTTTGCTCCTCCTTTGCCGGCTGCCGGCGCCGAGCCTGGTGGCATTGCCAGTTTGCAGTCTATCCACTTGCCATCCATTGAGTTGTTGGCCGCATTGGCAACAATGCTCTGAGCTACGGCTGGGTCTTGAAAGGTCACAAAGCCAAAACCTCTGGAGACGCCCATTGGATCGACCTTGACCTCGACGTTGGTCACTGCACCATGCTGTAGAGACCAGGCTTGCAAGGCTTCCTGTGAGCAGCTCTTGGGGAGGCCACCCACAAAGATCTTTCCCGCATCGTCGCTTGCCATGGCTAGCTATGACCTAAGAGGACCTAATGGACCTGATGCAGCGTTCCTTAAGCTGCACGAATCCGGCTCCAGAGCCGCAAGGCACAGCACAAGAACCTCACGACCTACTGTGCCGGGCCTTGTGGCAAGAGATGGACCCAACCCCAAAGCAAGCGCGCAGAGCAGAGCTGCCGGCCGATGCCAACGGCGCCAAGTGTGCCTCCGCGAAGGGAAGAAACAAGCGCAGTGACATGAAGGGCAAAGCAATCAAGGAACAGAAATTGGGCCGCTTAGCTCCTTCTGACCCCCCGGGGCGATCCCCGGCGCCTCTGCGGGCCTTTTCCGCGCCATCTGCTCAGCCTCTGGCCTTGGCGTGAGACAGCGGAAATCAAAACTTATGCGAAAATCTCGCATTCCCGGAACATGGTTTGCACAGCTTCATATACAGAAGTTTGAGAGATTGAAGGTGCTTGCTAGCCCTTGCGTAACGGATGAAGGAGAAACGCGGAACCAGATACATCTGAAGGTTCGGGATTTGGTGGCGTTGAAGTTTGGGGATGAGGGGTTCAGGATTTCCAGGTGCTTAGCACCCAGAGCAAAAGCACAGACGTACCCCTCTCACAAACTTTTTCCAGACCTCCCGTAACAAAACACGGCTAGCACAATAGCCAGAAGTGTTTGGTACTGTTGTGTGTTGGTAAGTTCTGGTGGCTTCTGGAAGTTTCTGGAGCTTCTGGAAGGTTGTGATTTCAGATGAGGGGGAACCTGGGAAGATTTCGGAAGTGCTGGGTCCGAAACAAAACCTACGGAGCACTCGAGGTACAGGCTGCAGGGGCGGCGAAGCCTGCGAGGGCTGCGCAGGCTGCGTGGGCTGCTCGGCAGTGTCCGGCATGCTCACGCTGGGCATGCTGGCCGGTGCGGCAACCTCACCTCTGCGTTTGGGGAGCGCAAGAAATGGAAAGCTGACGGCAGGCCTCAGGCTCCCGGCGTTTGCGAACCATGCTTAGGGAAACATTTGAGATGGAAGGCTCGTCACCTTCCCACAATACCTGAGCTTTCGTCTGTATTTGACATCCCACATGGCGGTAGTGCACTTTTCATCCAATTTTACTTTCGCCAACACCAGCGCGCACTGTTGCGGAGTCCTGCTCTAAGCAAAAGCAGGAGAGAAAAGAGACCCAGGCCTGAACCTCGTTGTTAGGCAGAAGCTCCCGGACCTGTGAACTGGAGAGGAACATCGAGTCACTTAACTAGTGTCTTACTAGTGTCTTCGGCCTTTGCTGGAAACCAATCCTCCCCCCAACCAGCGCATTGTGCCTCACAGATCTAGAGCTAGAGATGATCGACAACAACGTACGTGATTGTCGGTCTGCTGTTTCGGCCTCCACCAGGTCTTCCACCTGAACAGCACGTGGGAGAATGCCACACTTGGTCTCTGGGTCAGCCCCGAACAGCCAACACGCCTGGAAAGCCACAGGTGAGCCTGGGGCCAGCAAGGGAACTGCCTGTGCCAGTACCAACACTGGCTGCGCTGGCTGCGCTGGCTGCGCCGGCTGCACTGGCAGCGCCGGCTGTGCTGGCGGCGCCGGCTGTGCTGGCGGCACCCGCTGCACCGGCTGCACCGGCTGAGCTGGCAGCGCCGGCTGTGCTGGCGGCGCCCGCTGCACCGGCTGCACCGTCTGCACCGGCTGCACCGGCTGCACCGTCTGCACCGGCTGTGCTGGCGGTGCCCGCTGCACCGGCTGCACCGGCTGCACTGGTTGCACCGGCTGCACCGGCTGCACCGTCTGCACCGGCTGCACCGGCTGCGCCGGCTGCGCCGGCTGAGACGGCTGCGCCGGCTGTGCCGGTTGTGGCTGTGACCTCCGGCACGCGAACTGTCGACCGCCATACAATGCAAAGGTTCGAGAAGCATACGGGCGCACGGCGGTGACATATCCGGCACTGGCTGGGCTGCGGAACCCGCAGGACTCGCGGCGGCCGTTCCGGTCCTTAAGATCAGATCGCATGGGACACTCTCTGCACTCACATACTCTCGCATACTTGCGCCAAGCGGCGCCGGGGACGAGGTGCCGGCCAACCTCTTCGTTAAGGCACGGCAAGAGGACACGGCAAGAGCGGAGGAAAAGAACGCGAAAAGAACACGCATGCGCCGAACTTCTGAACTCTCCTCGCTCTCCTTAGGCGGATCTATGCCGGGGGGGAGCTCTCTCCTGGGATCTTCGAACACTTCGAGGCCGCGGCGCTTGCAGGCCCTGCATCTGTCGCTGCATGATCAGCCTCTGACGGCTCTCTCTTTTCCGACATGGAAAGTCAGAAAGTCAGAAGGGAAGGCTTCACTCCATGTCGCTCCCTGCTCTGGCCGCTGTTGCCATCCGAGGCAGCAGCTGCTGTTGCTGCTGGAGCCTGCGCGAAGGGAAAAGAGGTGAGAAAACAACAAAACAACATAAACACAGAGGAGCTCCGAAAAACTAAAAAATAGAACGAAGCAAAAAGGATTAGGATTCTTTGGGTCCCGAGGGGCTGCAGGAGCTGCTTCTGGAGCTGGTCGATCTGGCTCTGGGCATCTTGCGGCGTCGGGAGCCTCCAAGGGACTAGGACACGTGTCACACGTTACACTCCTCTGGGGGGTTTTAAGGGGGGGCTTCTCAGGGTTTTCAGGGTCTTTCGAAGGGCTTAGAAGGTAGGGTTTTTAGGGTTTTTTAGGGTTTAGAAGCTTAAGGGGCTTATTTAGTGGAGAGAGGAATGTATGCTACTCAAGGTTTTTCTGAGAACGACTCACCAGTTGGATCGACCGCTGCGCGGTACAAATTGCATGCAGCCCTCTGGAAATTGCGTCGTCAGGGTTTAGGGTCTTTAGGGTCTTTCGAGTCTTCAGGGTTTGGGGTCCGCTTCACCCCCCAGCCAACCGGAACTTTCAGCACCAAACCCTGCACCAAATAGCTCGCTCCAAACCCGAAGCCCTCGCCCCTAAACCCTGGTGTGGGCTTGCTGGCAAGGGGTGCACTGTTCGAAGTCAAAAACCCCGCACCCTGAATCCACCCAAATTCTTAAATCCTACAAAGCCTGAGGCCCGAACCCTGGGTGCTACATCCGAATCCGGGGCATTTGGGCCCAAGTTTTGCACGGTGCTTTGCCCAGGCTAGAGCTCCAAACCCCTAAACCCCCTGAACACCCCCAAACCCCCTAGACTCTGAACCCCGAGTCCCACACCCTCGGCCCTGTGCATTGGGGCCCATGCTGCAAAGGCACCATGCTGGGACAGAACATGCGGAAGAAGACCTGGCAGAATAGGGTGCCCAACCGTTGGCTTAGGGATCAGGGTCTAGTCTACGGTTTAAAGTTTGGCTAAGTTTGGAGTTCAGTGTTCAGGTGCTCAAGCAGAGGTGGCCTTTGCGGACAAGAGGGTGTGGGGGGGGGGGGGGGGCTGTGCGTCCGAAGATACCAGAACATATCGAGCCATCACACCTACCACGACATCTAAAGGAAACCCTATGCCCCGAGACCCGAATCCCCCTCCACCATTCAGAGCTTCAAGTTCAGCGCTTCAGGCTCGTGGGGGTCTCCTCTGAGCCCCCAAAAAACCTGCCTTCCGCTGGCCAGCAAAGACGATTCGGGCAGAGTGTCGCCGACCTGCCGGGGTCCGAATCTTCCGGGGTGGAGGGCTTCAGGGCTTTTTTGAGGTTGCGGAGTCTGGGGTTTAGGGGCTTTCGGGGGTTGGGCTTCGGCTAAGCCAGCCTTCCTTGATGCGAGGGAGTGCACCACCGGACCTGGCGCGAAACGCGGCTGTGGGGTCTAGAGTTTATACCCGGAGCCTAAATCCAGAATTCTAAGAACACCCTAAACCCTAAACCCACGACCGTACGAAAACAGGGACCTAGAAAACCCTACTACATCACAACATTGCTATGTAGACGTATTCTGTTCTATTGTGAGAATAATATATTTAGCAACAACCCTAAACGGGAGCATATTGGAGTAACTTATTTTATTTGGGGGATTTATTGTTGATTTCCCTCGGGTCCTTACTAATTTTGGCTCTGTTTCCTTGGTTTTCCCGAAGAAAAAACCTCTATTCCCTTTACATTGCAATAGGATCCTGTAAGCGCTTTCGCTAAATCCTAAAGAGCGGGATCCCTAAACGTTTGCCCGAGATCTTATTCCCTAAGTCCTGTTCCCTAAGCCCTAAAGAGGGTCATCCTTCAATCCTCAATAGGAGGGCCCCTGCCTGAACAACAAACCCTATTTCCTAAACCCTTTTCGCTACACCCTAAAGAGCGGGATCCCAAAGTCTTGTTCCCTAAACCGTATTCACTTAATCTTATTCCCAAAATCTTATTGCGCAAGCCATGGGTGGTCCTTAATTCCAAAAGAAAAAAACCCTAAACCTTAAAGAAAAGAACCCTATTCCCTAAATCCCACAACACCCTAAAGCGCAGGATCCCCAAATCGAAGTTCTACTCCCTAAGCCCTAGAGTCCTCAAATCCTAAAAGAGAAGAGCCCCTCGGAAAGCCATGAAATCCGTGGGGGAAAAAAAAAACGCCCTACACCGTAAATCTTGTCGCTAAATCCTGAGGTAAAGAGTCGGAACCCAAAATCTTGTTCCCTTGATTGCAATCTCTCTCTTAAGATTTACAGAGAGAGGGTTTAGGCAGCAGGAAGCATGCATTCCGCTATCACTCTGCTCATAGGGTGCTGTCGTCGAAAGGTTACGGTCGAGGCTGCAAGAAAGCAGCGCTCAACTCGACCTCGGACCGCGAACCCTGTGAAAACAGAAGGCTGCAGGCCTTGCATCCTTTTAGGGACTTAAATGTTACATCCCCCCCGGCCCCCCCCTCCCCCACTGTAGACTTGGCCAATATGATGTAGCCTTTATAGGGACTCTCCCTTTAAGAACCAAACAAACTCTTCTCAGTCTCTTTGGCCTCGAGAAGAATGAAACAGGGAAAAGTGTCGATCAATGGGGGATACATACATAACTTATAAAAACACAAAAAATAGTTTTGTAACATAAGATACATGATGCACAATCTATAATATTATATTCTACACATCTTTGTTGTATCGCTTTTTTGCTTGCTATTCTTGCGTGATGTCTTTGCTTTCTGTGCTCTGCCTGTCTCTCGCTCTCTCGCTCTCTCTCTCCCTCTCTCCGCAGTTCCCTCTTTCTTTCTTTCTTTCTTTATTCAGCTATGTATTTCTTTCTTTCCTTCCTTCCTTCGACAAAACCCACGGAAGGAACGATTTCCTCTCGAAGCGCACGGGAATAGAGGTGTTTTCCCAGGAAAAAACGCAACCAAAAGTTGCATGAACCTTATCAAAATATGGAGGGAATGGAGATTTTCCTGGGCAGCAAAAGCCAGAAAATGTATCAACAAAGAAGAAAAACCCCGCCCTCCACCCGAAACCCTCAAGCTTACCCAGATCTGGGCGCCTCCCACGGGGAGCATATGCGAGTGATGCAGCGGCTCCTGGTGGAAGGGCTATGGGAGCTTCGCTGCGCTGAGGGTTTCGGATACCGCTAAGCCCGCCACGTCCTGGAGATGGGCTCGCTCAGTGCGCACAGCATCCGTGATGGGCACAAAGCTGCGGCGTGCAAGGAAGGGTTCCCCCGTGCAAGAAACTGCATGCGGAAGCAGATCTGAAAAATTGCCTGCCAACTACTGCTACTGCTACTGCTCCTCCTCCTCCTTCTCCTTCTCCTTCTCCTTCTCCTCCTACTACTACTACTGCTACTACTACTACTACTACTACTACTACTACTACTACTACTACTACTACTACTACTGCTTCTCCTTCTACTACTACTACTACTACTGCTACTACTGCTACTACTACTACTACTACTACTACTACTACTACTACTACTACTACTACTACTAAATATTGTTGGTATGATTAGTATTTGTATTGTTGTTGTTATTGTTGTTGTTTTGCTTTATTCCCTTTTTGCATGCTGCTGAAAGCATCAGAGGTCGCTGGCAGTTCGACTCGGCCCAGCCTATGCGCAACCCTGTTACAAGTTCAACTTCTTGGTATCCAAGAGTCGTCCTGTTCGACGCTCTTGTTACAAATCTGTACAAGTTTGGTCAAAGCGATTGCGGCTAATGGCTCCGTCGCTGTACAATAGAACCTATTTGCAGGCAGCTTTTGCCGGCCGGCAAAAGCATCAAGCCTGCAAGATCTTCTTTTTTACAGAGGCATGCCCTCGCCCTTCAGCTGCTCCACCCAAGCTGCAATGCGGTCATCGGTCTGGTCATCTTCGTTGTCTTCATCAAGAGGGAGTCCCAAAAACTTGCCATCTTTCACGCTCTTGGACTCTCCGTAAGAGTAGCCAGTTTCATCCACGTAGCCGACCATCTTGGCACCTGCAGCTTGGAAAGCGTTGTGAAGCTCCTCAAGGCCATCACAGAAGTTGTCTGCATAGCTCTGAGAGTCACCGCAGCCAAAAACAGCCACAACCTTCCCTTTGAGGTCGTACTCCTTGATCGTGTCAAGATAATCATCCCAGGTGGTTCCGGAGCGGTACTCATCTGCTCCTGTGTTCCACGTAGGGCAACCCGCGATCACTCCATCCAGATCAGAGAAGTCCTCTCCATCATAATCCGACGCTTCCAAACCTGTAGCTTCCGCCAACTTGGAAGCAACCGTTTCGGTGTTGCCCGTTTGCGTTGCATAGAAGATTCCCACAGCAGCACGTGCAGTGCAGGAATTCTGCCTACCGAAGACCTTCAGTTTCTGCTGCAGAGCACTCTGGAAGGAGACCTTTGGCCCTCGGGCCCCGGCGAAGGAAGGTGCCGACCACCGCAGCAGAGCGAAGGCTGCAACGAGCGAGAACACAGCGAAACGCGGGGCTTTGGCCATGTTAGAAGTAAACTGAAGAGTAGAAATGGATGTCCGCTCTACTACCTGGAACCAAAAACTGCCCAGATGCCTCAGAGAAGCAGAGCTAAGGCCTGGGCAAGGCTTTGGGTAATGGCGTTTATGCAGCACTTATGCATCCAAAGCCCAAAGCCCATGGGCTTGTCACGCGTGGACGAGCGGAGCTGTTGCCAAAGCTTGGGCAGCTTGGGTGAAGCCTACAACTCGAGTTGGTATCGTCAACAACAAGTACAAGCACTTAAGAGCTTGCCACGTTTGGCAACGGATAGAGACTTGGGCCAGTCTTGGGCGCTCCATGCCCCGTCATAAGCCGAGGCGAGGCGGTCGAAGAGCGCAGCGTTGATATAACGTTTTGAAACGGTTTCTCTGGTGACCATTGGATTGGGAATGCAAGTAACTGTGCAGGCACACTCGTCCGCGCAGTCAAAGGTGAAGAGGCACAGCTCCTCTGGAAAACCTTCTGACATAAGACTCGATGTATATATGCCCAGCTCAAAGCAATTGGAGAAAGGGTACACGCAACGGAGAGATTTTGCTGGTCAAGTTGAGCGCGTTCCTACTTCTGAGGGCGATGCAACAAAAACCCTACTGCTCGTGAGAGAGTACAAGGCCGAGCAAGAAAGCAAGCGAGAGCTGTACAAAGGCAGCGGCTTTCAGCATCGTTTTCCGATGTTCCTCACACTTCTTTTCTTGGGTCTTGTTTCGCACTTTCTTTGGCCCTTTGCGGTACTTTGTCTCGTCTTTTTTCCTGGTCTGCCGGACCAGTTTTACTCGGGTTTTCTGCGGGTTTTTCTTCTTCGTCGCTGACAGTGGCTCCTTTCGGCTTGTATAAAACTACATGCAAACCCAACATGTTCTTGGTTTACCTTGCCTGTGTGTGGTCGGGGGGTCGGGGGGGGGCATGGTCTCTCACTCCATTATTCGTATTTCAGGGGGAGGATAATCATGATCATAATAGTATTTCAAAAGGGCCCGCCATGGGGTTTTTACGTACCACATTTCTATGTCGAAACCTTTGGCTTGGGTGCTTTGAAGGTTTCGTAGTTCTCATGGCAGGCCCTTCTACATACAGTAGCATCTTGCACGGGCGTACCAGATGAAGCCAAGATGCTTAGAATCTTAGAACTTGTAAGCGCGAAGTTGTAAACACGAAGTCCGTGTTTATCAGAAGGCTGGGCGTTTACAATATCAATCTTTGGGACTTTCGGGGAGGGCCGGGGGGGTCTTGGATGTTAAGGTGCCCCCCCTCCAACAGTCGTTTTGTTATGCCCCCGAGCCGCAGATTCAAGCAGCATCACAACAATATTCTTACTCGCCTCGATTGCTTCTAAGCGAAAGGTTGCCTCCTTGTTCCCCTAAACCTTAGAATCTTATTCACTAAATCTTAAGCGAATAAGGTTTGATCATAAACCTTCGGCAGGCATAGGGTTCTGCGAGTAAGGCTTAAGAATCAAGCCATCAGCCCAAGAGTTCCCGCCCCCGAGTCACTATTATTTGGGGAGGGGAAAGATGCTAGGGCGTCTCCATTGTTTCTTCGCGCGCCCCTGACTTTGCTGATATGCTCCCCAGCAAACCCCAACTGATTCCTCCGCTCCATGGCAGCCTGAACAAACGAAGCCAGATTGTTCAAGTCCCCAGGTATCTGCTCCAAGGAGTTTTGGCACAAGCTGTGGCTGGAAAATTGCGGCTCCCACATGTCGTATTTTGTATCTTCAGCACCTGGTTTGCGGCCCACTTCTTCACCGGCTGCCTCCACTGCCTGCGTGAGCTCTGCCTCTATCTCGGCAGCGCCCTCATGCTCTTCTGCCTCCGCTGGGCGTCCTCTTCCGGTAAGTTCCGTAGATCCCTCCTCTCCCCTTTCATTCACTGCACTGCAGCGAGGGACTCGGCTCCTCCATTGCCAATCACCAAAGCGCGTCAATATGCGTCAATGTAGGATTCAAACTTGCTTTATGAAATTATCCTTCTCCACTTTCCCGTCGCCATCTGCATCTAAGGCGTCGAAGGTTCAAGAATGCTTGGCACCACTTTGGTCTTGGCATGTTTGGGAGACTGGGACACAAGGTCATCCAGAGAGCTGCCCATGCTGTGCACTTGTAAGTTGCAGAAGCCCTGCAGGCTCAGAGGTTTCACCGTCGCAAGACCTCGCATTGGAGCATTCTACAGTGGCAAAACCTGCTCGCTTCTACGAGGCAGACCTTTGAGGCAAGTCGCTGCCAGAATGAGTCAAACCGCTGTCATACAGCTATGCAATCGGAGCGACGGGTATGAATGCAAAACTTGCTCGGGCTCATGCTGGTACCCGGCTGTTTTGGTGCCAAAGGCTACAGCGTTCCAGTCCGAGGCTCGGGTATGCGCTTGCCTCAGATGTACACAAACGCATGCGCGAGCGCGCAAGCGAGCGCGCAAGCGAGCGCGCAAGCGCGTGCGCGCGCGCGCGCGCGCGCGCGCGCGCGGGTCCAGGCACGCCCTCACCCACCCACACACACACACACACACACACACACACACACACACACACACACACACACACACCCACGCACGCACACACGCACACACGCACGCACGCACTCACGCACGCACGCACGCACACACACACAACACACACCACACACACACACAAACACACACACACACACACACACACACACACACACACACACACACACACACACGTGCACGCGCACATGCGCCTGCACACACGCCTGCACACACGCATAAAGTACTGCCTGGGCAAACGGTTGTAAAGCACGTGAACAACATCCTCATGTGCCCTGTGTTGCAAATAGTGCGTGCACGCAGCTAGCATCGTAGCGTGGCTGGAACCAGGACCAGGGTGACGATGGCATGTCCTTCTTGAAGAAGTACTCACCCAAGTAGTCGAGCTCGTTCTCCTTCGGCTGCATTGTTGGCCCATGGGAACCCGTGCTTTTCACGATCTCGCACACAACACAACTTACACAAAGAAAGAGAGAGCGAGAGAGAGCACTTTCCTGCACGGGACGGAGGCGGGAGAGCGCCACAAAATTGGAAAGTCTACGAAAAGCCTCCCTGTGCAAAAAAAACGATGAAGAAGGACGGAAGAGTTCTTGCCACCTAAGAGGTGAACTCCCCAGAAGAACCCCTGCCATGTGGTCACGCTACCTTTCGCTACGCGCGAAACGCAAGCCTCACAAAGAAATCAGAGGACCGAAGCGCGAGCTCGATTTGGACCACTCAACCAGACGTTCACCATTGACAGGAGCGATGCCACAGAATTGACGCTCCTAGACACGCTGTTGCTGCCGTGTTTTCAGGGGAGGAGGGAGGGCGCAAGTACGTAGTGTTGCTTTTACCCGAGAGCTTAAGTGTACGGGCTCCATGTACTCAAGGCCCTTGCTTTGCTCTTCTCCTAGGCAGACCTTCCTAAGCAAAGAAGAAAGCCCCAAAGAGCGAAACCCTAAACCTTGAACCTAGGTCCCCAAAGCAGCAAAACCGACACAGTGCAAGCCCAAACTTTGAACCTAAAATCAAAAACACACAAAAAAAAAAGAAAGAGCGCATCCGGACACCTTTTGACATGCTCCAGTGCCTGTTCACATTTTGCTACAATACAAACTGCTCCTGTGACTTGTTCGTGCACTCGTGTTGCTCTTTGCTTTCTTTCGCTGCAATAACGTGAAATTCAATTTTGACCCCTCAACGCACGGGCACGTCAGCATGTTGAAAAGACTCTGGATGCGCACATGCCCATGCTCTGGAATGCTCGCTTTTGAAAAAGTGTGAACGTGGATTTCCTCGAGTTTTGGCATGTTTGCGTGTGGAAACAAAATCAACGCTTCGCACGGATTTAGATTCATGAGCAATGCTTTTTTGAACTGCGCTCTCTGATACAAAAACCTGCACACGCGCCTGAATCTGAACAAGCGGTCGGAGCTTTTTCCTATGAAAACTGCAGCCCCGGAATCTAGTAGACAAGCCACACTGATTGGGGCATAGCACCCTAAAACCCCCAAGCAATGCGCCCAAGATAGGGCCGAGCGGCAGCTAGATCACTCACAGGCGCATCACGAGGAGCCAGCTCCCGGCGATCTTTCAATGCGTAGTACCTGCCCAAGCATCTCCCTCTTGAAAGCTGGAGTTCGTGACTGGACGATGACTCAGGACGAAATCTCGAAGGCGCCCAGCCTGGACATGCGGATGTACTCGATGCGTTGACGGCGGTGCTTGATCTTGTTCCTCGGTCGAGGTCTGCTAAATGCATTCCAAAAATCGGCCATGGTGCCACTTCGGTCCGCCATCAACAACAGAAAGAACACTCATGACTCATGCATAATCATCGCAGCAAGAATTACTTGTTGTCGAAAGCACGATGATGACCGTAGTAACCGCATTAACTCATGAAATAAAAGTGTCGTTAAACTGGACAACCACACGGCGTGGGAAAGGAAGGATAACAACTTCGCCTCGCCCCTAGCCGTGTGGCTGGGAGCAATCCCCTCATTGCCAACCCCCTTTTTGTTCAATGAGAGCGGAGTAATTCACGCGTTCCTCGGCTTGACACTACGAAAGTACGGGTTCGGGGGCAGGGGGGTGCGGTGTGGGAAGGGTGAGGGGGGTCGGGGGGATTGGGAGGATTGGGGGGGGGGGGGGGGGGGGGGGGTGTGGGGGGGGGGGGGGGGGTGGTGGTGGGGCGGGAGGTTTGGGGCTTTGGGGGGGGGGGGGGGGGGGGAGGTTTGGGGGCCGCTGAGCCGGGCCGAGGCTTGCGACGCGCAGCGTTGACACGAGGACAGCAGAGACTTTGTAAACAATCAAAAGTGCTCTTCACATGCCGCACTTTCCTTGAAGTCAAAGGGGCCAGTGCCAGTGCGGGACCTGGACGACTCGGTAGCCCATGGCCTTTACCACACGCTCCTCCGGAGGCCCCGAAAGGACCCCAGGCTCCCCAAAACTGAGGGGGATTCAAAAGCCAAGCCAAGCGGGTGAATGGAACAGAAGGACAAAGAACAGAAGACAAGGCATGAACGATGAGAACGTCTGACACCGCATTTTGGATGCGGAGCCTCCGACCTTCGACGTGAAAAATGTTTGGAGAGCGTGGAGCTTGGAGGGATGAATGTTCCCGAAATCGCTCCTGCAGACGCATCGACGCAATCTTTTCCGTCGAGTTCATGTAGAAGCGGTCGAAGTGGTTGCACTCGTAGATGATCTTTCGATCACGCTCCACGATGTCAAAGATGAAAGGCCCTCGGACCGCCTTGGCCACGTGGCCGATCTTCAGCTTCGTCAATGCCTCAAAGAAAAACAGCTCAAAAAGAACAGCTCAAACAAGCACTCTGATATGCACTATGATATGCACTATGAGGGCACTAGTTGTGTGGAACGTTGTGTACTGATATTGTACTGATTGTGACCCGGTGAGTACCTTTCGTTTTCACTTCGCTCCGCCTGGCTCAGCTTCCGGACGAAGAGCACCGTGTACTTGGGTGGCGGGTCGGGCTCCATGCGGTGCGCTCTTCGGAACATCTGCTGCACGTCTTTGGGCAGCGTGGTGTAGGCCTCAGAAACCCACAGAAATGTTAGAGAAACCCCAGAGAAACCTTCAACAGACCAGCAACGACGGCCGTTCGTGTGAGATCATTCGTGAGACTCTCGGGGGCGATCTCTCGCGCCTCGCGGTGCAAGTACCGCAGGGCGCTCCGGATCAGCAGCACTCGTCGGCGCAGGGAGGGTTGCCAGGGAACAGGTCGCTGCAACAGCTGCGGGGAGGCTCTCTCCAGCAGCTCCAGGACCTTCAATCGGAGATGAAGTAACATGAAGAACCTCATGACGCACCATGGAGTCTTAACATCGTATAACTCTCTCTTCACTCTGTTCGACAGCGGCTCTCAAAGCGACTTGAAAATGCCGGGGGCCTTCGGCAAGGCCACCTCGTCACGCTGGGCCAGAAACTGGACGTGGCACAGCTTGAGCAGCCCCTCCTGCAGAGAGAACGGGCTAGATTCACGGTTAGATGTTAGAAGCAGACAGCAACGCTTGGCTTTTTTAGCTGTCGCAGCTGTCTATAGTTTTGGCTGGCTTTCGCTTCGCTTTCAGCTGCCGGCTTTCGGGGACGAGTGGCCGGTTGGGACGGTGACGCCTGCTCTTCCAAGGCCTGCCACAGCTCCTGGAGACAAAATGGAGAAGAGATCTCTGGAAGCTGGGCACGGCATCTGCAAGAATCTCCTCACTCATGTCGCTGTGCTCCGAGGGCCATAGACGTAGAAATGCATGCGAGTAGAGAAGGCTGAGAGCTTCTTCTTTGGACCTTAGGCACAGCAACGGACGCAGCAATTTCCCCTGCCCACTCGCGCGCTCTATATATGAAGATCAGCGGCATGGAGTCCATGCCTGCGGTGGGCTTGGGCTTGTGAGAGTACTGAGAGGACTTGAGCTTTCGGAGATTCTTCAGATCACCAGTCGAGGCCTCCGCGGAGGCAGACGGCGATCTGCGCGAAGATCTTCGCGTGGCGGAACCGCTGCGTTGCGAAAACCTGGCGAAGCGCCTGTAAGGCCTGAAAGTGCCTCAAACCTCATATCAATGTCCCACGTCTCAACATTTCCCCATTTTTTCCGTCTCTTTCAACATCTGCTGGGGAGCTGCGTGAGCAAGCTGAGCAAGACATCTGAGGCCCGCTGCTTGCGCCAAATGCGCAGCATCGGATGTGGAGAAAGGATCCGGCCACGCAAGCAGGAGCGCCTGGAGGGGTCCATGTCGGGGCCACGTCAGGCCCGCGACTCTTCTGCCACGTTACCGAATGATATGTTACCACTTCTGCCGTGTTATCCTATAAGGAATTGCACGCAAGCTTGGCCTGGGCGATGCCCTGAAAGAGTGGAGGGTGCAGCACACCCAGATGGGAGAAAGCCACTCCAGCTCGCAGCAGCTCGCTTGCGGACGCCTGCAGGAATCGTTACTGCGATGAAGCCCATCCAAGCTCTGCCAGCTATGCCAGCTATGCCAGCTATGCCAGCTATGCCAGCTATGCCAGCTATGCCAGCTATGCCAGCTATGCTCTCGAACCTCCCGGAATGTGACTTGCCTGAACACTTCCAAGTCGATCGCCCAGCTTCACAAGGTCCGAGAAGTCCCGGAGCCCCCAGGCCATGCAAAGCTCGGCCTTCTCGGAGCAGAAATCCGGAGGAGAGGAGAGGAGAGGAGAGAGGAGAGGAGAGGAGAGGAGAGAGGAGAGGAGAGGAGAGGAGAGGGGGGACAATATGGGGAGCACTTAAACATGCCGGCGGAGCCGTGGCAACGAGGTCGGTGGCGGTGCAAGGCACGGGAGCGCTCTCGGCCAGGGCCACCTCCATCTCCGATTTCTCCGAAGCCTCCGAATCCTCGGGATTCTCGGAATCCTCCTCCATTTCCTCCACAGCCGATTCCCCTTTCTGGGACTCGGCCTTCACTTCCTCGGCCTCCTCGGCCTCGGCAGCCTTCGCCCCCACAGCCTTCGCCAGCTCAGCCTGACGGGGCGTGGGAGCATCAACGTTCACAGACCAAGCAGTGGCCAGGCACCCGCAAGGCACCCGCAGCGTCACTCTGGCCTGGAGGCCCTGCCTCCCTCGGAGCCGCCAAAGGAGATCCTCCTCAAGTTACCCAAGTGCTACGGTGCTACGGTGCTGTGGCATGCTGTGCGCTGCGGCACCTGGAGATTGCCCGTCTCCACCACTTGGCGAAGCACTGCCTGCACCTGCACCGGCCGCTCAAAAAGGCACGTCAGCCACACAGGAAGGCCCAGTAACCGTGAAAGGAAAGCATGAAAAACTGAATGCCTCCTGCGGCTGCCATGCTGCAGATGCAGTGGCCTCAGGCGGCATTTCCACAGCGTACCCAGCCCTCTCATTCCCTCTACATCTGCTAAGACTTGCCGAGGCAGGTGCGCGCAGCCTCAGATCGCGGCACTTGCAGGCACACGTCGGCACGTAGACGAGAGCGCGTGAGATGATCGACTCAGGCTTGCACCGAAGGTGACAAGGACCTGAGGCGTAACGCATCACAAGCTTTCATGGCACTCTTTCAGACTGGAAGACTCTGGAAGACCTTCCGAAGATCCCAAGAGCGGAGCGCAGGAATCGCGACAGGCGCGAAGCTGGGGCTCGCCATTTCAAGAGGATGGTCGGCATCGTTGGGACACACCCATCTGAAGCTTAGGGGTCGTCGGAGTTGGAGTAGTTGGGGTGTTTGGTGTAGTTGGAGTAACTGCCGGTGGTTCGCCAGCAATGTCTTTCCAGCTGCTTCCATGCCTCCGCAACCAGTCCCTCATCACTGAAATACCCCAATAGAAGATGGCGCGTCATGATATGAATGTCGTGACCTATCTGTGGGCTCCACAGCCCAAACATGCTGGAGCCAATCACGCAAGAGTGAAAACGTGGATTAGAACCTGCATTCCCATGACAAGCGGATAGACCATGACGCTTTAGGACCAAGCAGTATCAGGGAGCCAGAACTTACACAGCGATACAAGATCATCGATGATAGCAAGGGAAACTCACCGAGTAGTCAGGGACGAGATTGCGACAGGACTGCTGAGACCACCACGCAGCACAGCTCTCCAATGCAGATTCTTTCGATTTCTGGCTTGGGCAGCTGGTGACCCCTCTCCAGACTAGGGAAAATTCTACAGAATCCAGGTTGGGGTTCACTCCAGCGGCCCCTCAGATGCCTAGGGTGGGGCCCTTCTTGAACTGCAGCCAGGCCTGGGCGCCGCACCACAACTGTTCAACAGTGACTGAAGCCTTCGATTGTACGCTATGCAACTTGCAGTACCGTCTTAGTCACCAAGTCGCGGAGACGAAAAGGCCGAAGACCGTGATGGGAACAGTGCCTTGTGCAGCGCCGGAGGGAAGGGGTCGTTTATGACAAATTGAGCCCCCTGAAAATTTGATTTGTTCGGGCTATGTCGGGTCTATGTCTTGTATCTCGGGGCCGTGCCCATGACGATGCCAAGCATGAGGGCTTCGACGGTGGCGGAGAGATTCAGGCTGGAGCCCATGTCCATCTGCGGCGCACGTGCAGCGCACGCACAGCTCACGTGCAGCGCGATCCAGCTGCTAAACTGCTCTGCGCCCGGCCTCTGGCATGTCCACGGCCGCCTGAGCTGCGGCAGGGACGACCGCCGCCGTGATGGCAGCGGCAGGGATGCTGGCCTTCGGTCGCACAAGTCTCGACATCCGCGCGATGGCGAAGGCATCTGGAATCTACCCAAGTCCAAAAATCTCACGTGGACCTGTCGCGGGGCCACGAAGCTGTAGCTGTTGAACAGCGCCGCCACACAGGCAAGGGCCACCTTAACATGTCAGGAGAGAGGCACAGCCTTATAAAGCACAAGCAGCTGTCAGCGACTGACCCGCCGAGGCCGCGGCAAGGGGCGCCAACACAGTGCGAGAGCGCGCCATCGCTTGGTCCAGGCTAAGTTCCGCAACACCGGCTGGTCAGGAGCCCACTGGCGCTGCGACGGAAGAGTCACTGCTGCTTTCTAGCGTGGTGCCACACGTACGGCAACAGCTGGGAAAATCAAACGGCGTTCGCCTCCGATTCTTTGCCTTTATGACAGCTTCATCTTGCAACAGGATGTTCAAGTACAGCATTGGGAAACGAGCACTGTCCGGTCCCTTGGATTGTCCTGCCCATGCGCTGCGCATCTTTTGTCCTCCTCCCGCTGATGGATGGATCCCTCGTTTAAATGCCCAGGGTTGGGCCCTTCTTGAACTGCAGCCACGCCTGAACACAACTGCAACGAACTGAACTCCACATGCACACCACTATACCAGGCATGTTGAACACTGGTCAGTGCAGACAACGCCGCCTCTTACACATTACGTGAATTAGGTTCCAGTTTCTCGGGCATCTAAAAGTGTCGGGTTTGACCGGTTACAACCAGTTCGTTATGTCCACTTTGCTGTTGGCTGCGTCCTGTGCATGGGGGCTACCTGACTAATGTTGCTCTGCGAGATCTAGGCAACCAACCCATGCGCTTGTACTTGGCTTCAACTTGTTGCGTGTCTACCAGGTACGTAACTCTGAGCCATTTTTTGAAAGCCGTAATGTTGGACCCTGATTAGTGGGGGCCCCTCTATAAAGTCACGTTTGCCGGGCTATTCAGGACCGCGCGACTACTTGGGACTCGTCCCTACCAAAAGCATATGAAATTTCGGGCTTTCTTAAACAGGGACAAAGCTTCCGGAGACAGGGGAGGGGGGGGGGATGGAGGGGGCAGGAGGGGGTCATGATGTCGGGATGGAGGGGGGATGGGGGACGGAGGGGGGAAGGGGGGGAGGGAGGGGGGCGGGGGGGG